TTCAACTATTTCATAAGCACCTTAAAACCAGAGAAGCGTGAGAAAAGTTATCATCATTGAGTTTGGAACTTTTCATATATTGTCCCTAGACCTGTACTATATAGGAATACGTGGTAACCTGAGTAGGAATGTATTTATTCTTATTTAAAGCAAACAAAAAAAAATCAGTTTATGAATTGGAGGCCTCTGACTGCGCTGACTGCACCTAACCTCACAGTGCAGAACCATGTTGAATAACATTTATAAATCTACTGATTCTGTTTGTGGTGAGCTAGGAAACTAACAGCCAAACTAAACTGTAAATTTAAACATTTTTCTTTGTTTTAACTCAAGTTCAAGTTAGTTAACACATAGTGCAGTATCGGGTTCAGGAGTAGAATTCAGCGATTCATCACTTATATGCAACACCCATTGCTCATCCCAATGAGTGCCCTCCTTAATGCCCATTGCCCATTTAGCCCACCCCCCACCCACGTCCCCTCCAGCAAGCCTCAGTTTGTTCTCTATATTTAAGAATCTCTTATGGTTTGCCTCTATGTTTTCAACTTAGTTTATTTTTCCTTCTCTTCCCCTACGTTATGTTGTGTTTTTAAAATTCCACCTATGTTTCTCTGACTGACTTATTTTGCTTAGCATAATACACTCTAGTTCCATCTACACTGTTGCAAATGACAAGATTTCCTTCTATTGGCTTCCAAGTAATTTTCCATCATATATATATATGGTGGAAAATATACACCACACCTTCTTTATCCATGCATAAGTTGATGGACATTTGGGTTATTTCCATAATTTGGCTATTATTGATAGCACTGCTATAGACAATGGGGTGCATGTGCCCCTTCAAATCAGCATTTTTATATCCTTTGGATAAATACCTAGTAGTGCAATTTCTGGGTCGCAGGGTAGTTCTATTTTTAACTTTTGGAAGAAACTTCATACTGTTTTCTGGAGTGGCTGCACCAGCTTGCATTCCCACCAACAATGCAAACAACAGAGATCCTCTTTCTCTGCATCCTCGCCAACATCTGTTGTTTCCTGACTGGTTAATTTTAGCCATTCTGACAGATGTGAGATGGTGTCTCACTGTGGTTTGATTGGTATTTCCCTGATGATGAGCGATGTTGAGCATCTTTTCATGTGTCTGTTAGTCATCTGGATGTCTTCTTTGGAAAAGTGTCTATTCATATTTCTTCCCATTTCTTCACTGGATTATTTGTTTTTTGGGTGTGGAGTTTGGTGAGTTCTTTATAGATTTTGAATACTAGCCCTTTATCTGATATGTCACTTGCAAATATCTATTCCTATTGCATCAGCTGCCTTTTAGTTTGGTTGACTTTTTTTTTTTTTTTTTTTTTTGCTGTGCAGAAGCATTTTATCTTGACAAGGTCCCAATAGTTCATTTTTGCTTTTGTTTTCTTTGCCTCCAGAGACATGTCAAGTAAGAAGTTGCTGTGGCCAAGGCCAAAGAGACAGCTGCGTGTTTTCTCCTACAGGAGTTTGATGGTTTTCTGTCTTACATTTAGGTCTTTCATCCATTTTGAGTTTATTTTTGTGCATGGTGTAAGAAAGTGGTCCAGGTTCATTCTTCTGAATGTCGCTGTCCAGTTTTCCCAGCACCACTTGCTGAAGAGACTGTCTTTTTTCCACTGAGTATTCTTTTCTGCTTTGTCAAAGATTAGTTGGCTATATATTCGTGGGTCCATTTCTGGGTTCTCTGTTCTGTTCCATTGATCTATGTGTCTGTTTTGGGCCAGTACCATACTGTCTTGATGATTACAACATCGTGATACCTTGAAGTCTGGAATTGTGTTGCCTCCAGGTTTGGTTTTCTTTTTCAACACTACTTTGTCTACTTGGGGTCTTTTCTGGTTTCATACAGATTTTAGAATTGTTTGGTCTAGCTCTGAGAAGAATGCTGGTGTTATTTGATAGGGACTATATTGGATGTCTAGGCTGCTTTGAGGAGTATAGTCATTTTAACAATATTTGTTTTTCCAATCCATAAAAATGGAAGGTTTTTCCATTTCTTCATGTCTTCTTCAATTTCTTTCATAAGTATTCTATAATTTTCAGCATATAGATCCTTCACCTCTTTGGTTAGCTTTTTCCTAGGTATCTTATGATTTTTGATGCAATTGTAAATGGGATTGATTCCTTGATTTCTCTTTCTGCTGCTTCATTGTTGGTGTATAGAAATGCAACTGATTTCTGTATGTTGAGTTTATATCCTGTGACTTTGCTGAATTTATGTATCAGTTCTAGCAAATTTTGGGTGGTGTGTTTTTGGTTTTCCATGTAGATTATGATGGCATCTGTGAAGAGCGAAAGTTTGACTTCTTCCTTGCCAGTTTATCTGCCTTTTATTTCTTTTTGTTGTCGGATTGGTGAGGCTAGGACTTCCAGTATTGTGTTGACCACAGTGGTGAGAGTGGACATCCCTGTCGTGTTCCTGACCTTAGGGGGAAAGCTCTCAGGTTTTCCCAGCTGGGGATGATATTAGCTATAGGTCTTTCATATATGGCCGTATTGATGTTGAGTTATGTTCCTTCTATCTCTACTTTCCAGAGGTTTTTTTTTTTTTTTTTAATCAGGAAAGGATGCTGTATTTTGTCAAATGCTTTTTCTGCATCTACTGAGAGGATCATGTGGTTCTTACCCTTTCTTTTATTAATGTGGTGTACCATGTTGATTGATTTGCAGATATTAAACCAGCCCTGCATTTCAGGAATAATTCCCACTTGATCAGGGGAATAATTCTTTGATGTATTGTTGGATTTAATTTGCTGGTATCTTGTTGAGAATTTTTGCATCCATCTTCATCAGAAACATTGGATGTAATTCTCCTTTTTAGTGGGGTCTTTGTCTGGTTGTAGAAACAAGGTAATGCTGGCCTCATAGAATGAGTGGAAGTTCTTTCATTTCTATTTTTTTGCAACAATTTGAGAAGAATAGGTATTAAATATTTTTTAAATGTCTGGTAGAATTCCTTTTTTGTAGAATTCTCTTGTTTGTTGAAAGGTTTTTGATTACTGATTCAATTTCTTTACTGGTTATGGGTGTGTTCAAATTTTCTATTCCTTCCTGTTTCAGTTGTGATCATTTTACATGTTACTAGGAATTTATCCATTTCTTTCAGATCACCCAATTTGTTGACATATAATTGCTCATAATATTTTATTATATTTGTGTGGTGTTGGTGGTGATCTCTCCTTTCATTCATGATTTTATTTATTGGGGTCCTTTCCTATTCCTTCTTGATAAGTCTGGCTAGGAGTTTATCAGTTTAGTTAATGGTTTCAAAGAACCGACTTCTCATTGTGTTGATCTGTTCTACCATTTAAAAAAAAAATTCGGTATCATTGATTTCTGCTCTAATCTTTAGTATTTCCCTTTTCTGCTGTTTTTGGATGTTATTTGCTGTTCTTTTTCCAGCTCTTTTGAGTGTAAGGTTAGGTTGTGTATTTGAGACATTTCTTCCTTCTTTAGGATGGCCTGGATTGCAATATGCTTTCCTCTTATGACCACCTTTGCTACGTCCCAAAGGTCTTGAACTCTCTTGTTCTCATTTTCTTTGGTTTCCTTGTACTTTCCAACTTCCTCTTTAATTTCTTGGTTAACCCATTCATTCTTTACTAGGATGTGGTATAACTTCCATGTATTTGTGGTCTTTCCAAATTTTTTCTTGAACTTGATTACAAGTTTCAAAGCATTGTAGTCTGGAAATATACATGGTATGACCTCGATCTTTTTGTCCTTGTTGAAAGCTTACACCACATCTTCTTTATGCACTCACCAGTTGGTGGGCATTTGGGCTCTCTCCATAGCTTGGCTATTGTTGATAATGCAGGGACATGTAGAGAAAGACATGTAGCCCAATGGCAATAATACCTCATAAAAAGAATCACACCTTTATGGAGTGTTTGTTATGTGGCAAAATGGCTGTGCTGATTAAGTTCTCTATCATTTATCCTAAAAAGAGAAAACATATGAGATCCATACCATTCATTCATAACACACACAGACACACACACATATTGCTCAGAAAAGTAAAGTTGGATAAAAGGTATAAATGGAAAGAGCACAACTTCACCAAAAATTAAAAGCTTTTACTTTGTATTACTAAAGCTTGCAAATGATAAGAATACTACTGCTGTGTGGACCACAACAGAGGAACTAGAGGAACTCCCCCATTGTGTGCCCAAGGAAATAGAGGGAAAAAAATCACTTGTTGCAAAGCTGTATTACCCAAACAGCAGATAGAGCTTTGATACAATCCTGAGAAGAATCCATAAGTTGTAGCATATTACTGTAATACATAACCATAGAGCCATGGAAAATTACTAAAATGGAGCTTCTTGAAGAAACCTCACACACTGTGTTGAGCATAAAAAAGAAAAGTTCCGGAGTGCTGTATATAGTACAAGAGCATCTTTATAGAATTTTAAATATGCAAAGTTACATTGTATATCGCTTAAGGATTCATAACATGTTGTAAAATTATAAAAGTAAATTTGAGAATGATAAACACCAAATTCAGGTAAGTGTTTTTAAAAGCAACAGAAGGCCATAACAGCGAAATGTTAATTTTTGCAAAGATAACGTAGTAGGACCAAGGATTTCTTGCATATTTCTTATAAATTTCAGAACCAAAATATGCTTATTCCATGTAGTGATTTCAAAACATATAGGTGTTAAAATCACATCATCCTTGCAGAAAGCGCTGCATAAAAGTAAAATGTGCTTGTCCAAATTATTGGAAGCAGAGCAAATGTCCATCAACAGATGAGCGAATAAAGAAAATGTGGTCAATATATACAATGGAATATTATTCAGCCATTAAAAAGAGTGAAATCTTGCCATATGCAACAGCATGGCTAGAGTTAGGGAGTCTATCACTAAAATGTCAGTCAGAGAAAGACAAACACCACATGCTTTCTTTCAGTCATATGTGGAATCAAAGAAGCATAGACAAAAAAAAAAGGTAAAAAAAAAAAAAAAGAGTCAAACCAAAAAACAGGCTCGTAGCTATAGAGAACAAACTGATAGTTACCAGAGGGGAGGTAAGTGGGGAAGTGGGGGGGATGGGTTAAGCAGACCAAGGGGATTAGGAGTACACTTACATTTTGAACACTGAGTAATGTATAGAATTGCTGAATACTATTTTTGTACACCTGAAACTATAATAACACTGTATGTTAACTATACTGGAATTAACATTTAAAAAAGAAAGGTAAAGTGTGCTCTGAAATTGAAAGGCTGTTTCTCATCACAGACAGAATGGGAACCTTCTTTTCTTGACCCTCTTGATTGTCTTTGGGGTAGAGGCAGGGCCAGTGTGAAGCTCAGTGCATCAGGGTCTCTGGGTCCTTGAGACGAGGGTCCATCCTTGACTTTGCTCTGAAGAGAGCGGAACATCAGGACTCTGCTCAGAGAGAAGGACCATCAGGAGGGTGTGGGGAAGGGGGCATATCCAGGATGGAAGGCGGGGGATGGGGGGCAGGTTCTCCCCTGTGTGAGCCTCTTGCACAGGACGGGAGGCAATGTATTGCAGTTCATGCAGGAGCTGTAGGGAAATATTCATTCATTCATTCATTCATTCATTCATTCATTCTTTTATGAATTTCCCAAATACTTATTGAGCACCTTCTATGAGGCAGGCCTTCTATGGGCCTACATTCATGGTGCACATCAGAAATGAGATGCCTGCTCTTACACTCCACCTCCTCTGTCTGAGGTTCTGAACTCCACCCCACCCACATTCATCTTTGCCAGTAGCTAGAGCCTCCCAGTCCCTCGATGGGCTCCATTAGTAGATTTTAGCAATACTTTCTTTATTCATTCCAAAAATCAGTCCCATGAAAACTGACCTATGTAATAGTATATGGGGGCACTCTTTGGAGTTTGGGGCTCAGAACTTTGACTTTAATCCCAACTCCCCACCTCAGACCCTCACCCAGGATTCCAAGGGACTTCATTTAAAAGCCTCCAAACCCAGGGCACTGCTGGATGCGTGAGAGCTGGAAGCCTCTGAGATTTCCAACAGACCTTTGGAGAAAACAAGAGTATTTCCAGCCTTTTCTTAAGGCTAGATCCCCCTGGGAGGCACAGTGTGAAACAGTGGACTTACCCTGGACTCCTCTTGCCAGCCCACGATGGTGACCATGACCTCTCTTCTTATGTACTAAGACCTGCCCCCAACTCACCTGTTACCGGCTCCGCCACCCGCAGATGTAGGTGACTATGAAACTCATCGCCAGCAGCACCTTGAAGCCCAGAAGGAATGTCACAAAGATAAGGGCAGGCATCTCGGGACCTAAGTACCAATGGGCAGAAGGACACGGCAAAGGGGACACTGTGAGTTTAAATACCTCACTCCACTCAGGAGACAAAGGTGACCTAGTTGCTCAGAGCAGTGGAGGTGAGCTTACCTGAGCTTCCGATGGGCTTGTATGTGCCGTGTGCTTCCGCAGACAGTATGAGGCTGGCCTGGATGGGAGGTTGGGTCTCGTGCTGCACCTTACAGGTGAGCACCTGCTCGGACCCCGGCCCTGACACTGTTCACCAAATGCAAGCCTTCCAGGGTGTAGGTCCCATCGCTACTCTGCTTGGATGTGCGTTGCTCAGCTCCCTCGATCGTATGGCAGTTCTCCGTCCAGGTGAGATGCACACTCTGTGCATAGAATCTCTGCACGTGGCAGGTGAACTGGAGATTTCTAGTAAGTCTTGTAATCAAGTGGTGTCAGTCTTCTGACTTTGCTCTTCTCTAGCATCGTGTGGCTATTCCGGATCTTTAATGCCTCCATATAAACTTTAGAATCCGTTTGTCAATACTCATAAGATAGTTTTCTGGTATTTTTATCTGGATTACAGTTAATTCATAGATGAAATCGTGAAGAACTTGCATTCTAACAATATGGGTCTTTCTATCCATGAACATGGCACGTGTCTACTTATTTAGTTCTTTTTTGGTTGCTTAGAGTGAGGTGTTTTGTTTTGTTTTGTTTTGTTTTTAATGTTGGCTTCATCCCCAGCACAGAGCCCAGTTCAGTCTTAAACTCACAACCCTGAGGTCAAGACCAGATCTGAGATCAAGGGTGTAAAATTTAACCAACTGAGCCACCTAGGCACTTCTGAGAGCTGTAGGGTTTTTTGCAGATGTTTTTAATCAAGTTGAGGAAATTCCCTCCTATTTCTAGTTTGCTGAGAGTTTTCATCACTAATGGGTGTTGGATTTGTCAAATACTTTGTCTGCATCAATTGTTATCATCATGCAATTTTTCTTCTTTAGCCTGTTGTTGTGATGGGTTAGAATGATTGATTTTCAAATGTTGGAACAGCTTTGTATGCCCAGGATAAATCCTACTTAGTCACGTATACATAGCTTTACACTTTGTGAAATTCTGTTTGCCGACACTCGGTTGAGAATTCTTGCATTTAGATTCATGAGAGATGTTGGTCAGTAGTTTTCTTTTTTTATGTACAGTCTATGAGGTTTTGCTATTGGAACAATAATGGCCTCATCAAATGAGTATGGAAATGTTTCCTCCTCTGTTTTCTGGAGACGACTGTATAAAATTGGTATTAATTCATTTTTAAAAATTTGCTAACTGAGACTGAGTGTCTCAGATATCTTACTCATTCCTAAAACATCCAAACTTTATTCCTCCTTCCTTCTACTAAGATAATGGTCTTGGTTTCCTCTTTCATCTGATCTAACCCCCTGCAGCCATCTGCTCTATCAGAACTCAAGTCCTCTGCCCAGATAGATCAATGGCCTTAGGGAAGAGACTTCACATGCTTGCTTAGCAAGCGGAACTTGCGGGGTTCAGCTCCCGTCACTTACCTGGTGAGACCTAGTGACCACTTCCAGCTAACGTTCCCTGAGCACACAGACCTCTGCCAATTTGTAACAGTGATTCTCTTCGGATGAAGCCTTTGTGGATCCTTTCCTTGCTTCATAATTTCATGTTTTCCAACATGTTTTTCTCCATTGAGAGGTGGCGTCTGTGTAGTGGTAATAAGTGTAAAACTCAGGTTTTACACTTCCAATATGGTTCACTCTTGGTATTGTATCTTAGGGGTTAAGGGATGAGAGCTCTCAGGTGTGTTGTGTTGAGCCCTGTAACCATGGGAGGTGTATCCATTATCTGAACAAAAAGGTCTGGAACAGACGTGAACACTGGGAGATTTTGTGAGCTGAGGACCATTCCAACTCAGTTCTGTAATTTCTGGCTGGGAAAGAGAAAACCCTCCCCCAAGAAATTCTAGGGAAACAGGTAAGGAGAACAGTAAAGAGGCATGGAAGAACCCCCACCAAACATACCTGAGACCCCACTCACCTGTGAATCCTGCAGCAGAGTCAGCAGCAGGGATGGCAGAGAAGGGCAGCATAGGGAAGAAGGGACAGACATCATGGTGGACCTTGGAGCCTTCTCTGTCTGAGTGTTGTCCTGGAGAGGCCTGGGACTCTGTACTTCGAGAAGAGAAGACACTCCCTGCTTCTGTGATGTCAGAGGAAGGGGATTGTGATGAGAGGAAAGACCATGGGACTGTAACACTTTTTCTTCGAGATTATCAGTTGAGCAGACAAGGTGGTTACAAGCTGAGCAATTGCTACTGGAAACGTTTGGGGTTTCCAGAGTTAAGATCATGACACCCACAGGCTTGGCCTCCTTCCGAGCCTTGTCCCTTCTGAGGTTCTCGCCAACCCACAGCCCTGCCAATTTTAGAGGCCTCAGAGACATGGTCTGGGGAAGAGGTTAGAGTTTTGGACATGACAATGGTTTGTGCTTTAGAGGATGGAGGAGACCGCAAGAAGGTGGGGCTCAGGGAACACTCTCCAAGAGGGAAAGCAACATACCTAGAAACACACCCAGGAAGGTGAGGGCTGCCTTTGCTGTCTGTGCTGGGTCCCGGGCCAGCTCGGAAGGAAGGGAGTGGAGGGATTCAAGAAATGCTCTCAGAAAGAGAAAGGAACCAGCATGCTGGCCTCCGTCTCTCTCACCTCTGGAATGAGCTATACCCAAGCACCAAGGTTGTGTTTGGGGACTCTTCTAAGTCCACACTCAGCTGGTGACCCTTTAATGTCCATGAGCCCATAGTCACGCACTGACGGCTAGGGCTATTTCGCTACTGCTTCCTTTGAGCCCTGCCTCCTCTTAGGGATATACAGGATGTTAAGGCCAGGAGGGGTGGTGGAGGAAGAGGCGAATGCCAGGCAGGCCCAAACTGCCTATAGGAGATGCCAAGACTCCCCTCCACCAGTGACGTCACCATTGTAGCACATTTTTCTGGAAGGGCGAATTCCATGCTGTGACGCTATCCATGCCCCCTGCTGAGAGTTGGACAGAGTCTTTCCCCCAGTCGCCAGCATGTCTCCCTTCCCCCCACCTCCAGGAGACTTCACGCCTTCCATCAGACCCTAAACTCTTCAGAGACTGGGGTTTTCAGTGCCTTGATGGTCAAGAGCACTGGCTTTGCAGCCAGATGCAGTCCAGCTCCCAATCCTGAATCCACTTCTTGGTGATTGAGCTATACATCCTTTGACTTTGAAATTTTCATTTGTGTGGCTCACACATTCCAAACTGAGTTCCTAGTCTGCTCTCAGACATTCTCTTCTCCCCTTCCACCAGGTTCAGTATGTGGCACATCCTCTACCCGTTTGGTCAAACCAAGAAGGGACCCATGTTCTACACCCTCACTTGTTCACTCTTGTCTGCCTGCTCGAGGCCCTGCTGGTTTTACCTCCTAAACACTTGTGGAATCTGTTTCTTCATCACGATCATCTCTTGCCCGAATGAAAACTATTACTTCCTAAATGGCCACCCCCATCTTGTTTTGCCCGGTGTCAGCTCTGCCTTCTCCTTCATCCAAGGTGGTCTTCTACGACACAGATCTGATTATACCCCTTTCCTGCATAAAGAGTTTTGTGGTTTCTCATTGCTCTTGTATAGTCAGAGTGCTTGGTATTTTGTAAATGGTAATGGTGTATAGCATATGGTATATTGTATATGGCATGAGGCATATGGTATATGGACTATGGCTTGTAGTGTATGGTATATGATATGTGGTCCATCCTTCCATGACTGGCTTGGCCCCTAGAGTCAAAAGGCTTCCCACCTTTACTGGTACCAACGACCACACAGGAAACCGTTATTAAGATGAATATTAACAGGCGGGTCTTTTCAGGGAGTACTTTCAGGACCAAACATGTGGAAGGGAGGAGAAGGGAGTAGGAATGTGTAAAAGAAGTTGAGCTGCCGTGAGGTCCCAATGAAGATTCAGCCGATCTCCTATGTGATCTGGTGCTAGGATGTGATTTCAGAGTTGTCCTGAGCTGGGGTGAGCGGGCTGGGCCTCTATATCCCCATGTTGAGGAGCCCCTGGATGTGGCAGGTTACTGGGCATGACCTGGGGCAAGGTGGCTGTCCTCAGCTGAGGCCATCTCAGAGAGGGTCACAGCCCAGGGCCACCTCCTGTGACCTGGTGCATCACAGCATCCACCTTGCTCTGCAGAGCCCCTTCGAACTCTGTTCCTTGACGTCAGCACATGGATTAACCCCCCTCCCCCCCCCACATTGAGGTCCTTAGAACTACCCCACTCATCCAGGGGCCTAGAGGTCTCTGAGCACACCTGGACGAACTGGGCTTTACCACTTGGAAAAGTTTAGGATGAATGCCATGGGGGACTGAGAAGTAGCTCCTTCTGGGATCTCTGAGTGCCTGGCTCTGGAGTGAGCTGTGGCAGAGGACAGAGGAAGGAGGAGAAGAAACCTCAGACCTGAAGGGAGATAAAACCTGGATATAAACACAAACCCCCCCCCACCACTCATTTCCTTGCAGTGTCCCCCAGCGGGGTGCAAAAGGAAGATAGAGAGCTGAGGACAAGATGTTAAAGTTTTTTTTTATTGGACTCAATTTTGTGAAACAGTTTTACATTTAGAAAAAACTTGGAACAATCCTTCAGAGTTTCAATATACAGCTGCACACAGTTTCCCCTCTTATTAATGTCTTACAGTAATCTGGTATATCTGTTATAACTTAATGAACCAATATTGGTACATTATTATTAAGCAAAGTCCATAATTTTTCTAGATTTTACTTGACTTGGGCTACTAGAAGAAAACACTGTAAACTAGATGCCTTGAACAACAGGAACTTCTTTCCCACTGTTAAGGAGGCTGGAAGTCTGAGATCAGGGTGCCGTGATCATTGGGTTGGGATGTGTGTTTGCCACAATAGCAAAGCAGGTGGTTATGTAGTCTCCTGGTTTCCCGCGATAAACCTGCGTGACATTGTACAAAAGTGAAGAAATGGCAAAAGGGAATGGGCACAAAGCTGAAAGTGGACAGGAGAAAGGAGAAAAGATGAGGTTAGAGGTCAAGTTCAAACTGAATGTGAGAGGGGTTCATGAAGCCATGGCGGCCTTCATGGGAAGGCTGCCGGGAATACCGTTGCCCGAGTCTAGATATGCACCCAGAGGAGCAGAGTGAAGATAAACTTACCACGTACCTGAGGAGGTGGGGCTGGGGGTGGGGGCGGGGACAGGGAATGTCCCGGAGGGAGTGACACCAGCATATATTCACATTAATATTGTAAAGATATCGCAGCATTGGAAGTGCAAGGGATGGAATGTTAGAAACTGATCCCAACTGAGAAAGGAGTGACACTGTGGTTAGAAGAAGGCAAGCCCTCTGCAAACTACTCTTGATAAGTCTTTACAAAAGATAAAACACTTCCCTTTTCAACATTTCTAATGTTTGCAATGACCCCATACCAAATGAATAACAGCTTTACTTTTCTTTTTTCATGTCCTTATACATTCCTAACTGATAGTTGGAGGGCTTCTAATGTGTTGAAAGAAGTTTTTAAAGGTCACAGAAAAATTGTTACTTTTCTCCTCCGATTATTGAGATCACTTCGCTTGCTTTCAGTGGCGCTGCCATTGCCTAAGTCCTGCGTCACTGTGCAAAGTGAGCACTGTCTCCATTTATCTTGTCAGCTGATCTTAAGTTCTAGGGAAACAACTGAGTTTGGGTTTGAGCTGTGAAAACACACAGTGAGAGACAGGAATTGGTATTTTATGTGGGTGGTTTAAAGAAGGTGCTTTTCATAAAGTGACTGGTCAGCAGAGCTTGAAAGGGGGAGAGACCAAGCCGTGCACATCTGTAGGGGGAAGAAGCACAGAAGGGAGACAATTTGACCTCCATTTCCAAAGGGTCACTGTGGCGGAACCCGGAGAGTCTGTTAGGCACGTGGCAATGGCCCAGGAAGGGATGCTGGTGGCCGGGACCAGGGGGCAGCCCGGGAGCGAGCAGTGTGCAGGTGCTGGGTGGAGCTCCCTGGTGGGCGGGAGGAGGCTTGCCCTCGCTCCTGAGAGCTTTCCAGGAATTTTGCAAGCTAGTTGTTCCACTGTTGGCAGCTTGAAATTGGCCGCATTGGAAGTGTAGACACCGCAGAAGTGGACAAGCACTACAAATCAGGCTTCTTTTTCCTCCTGAGAAGTGGATTGTTGAACATTTACCATGTCACCACTGGACATAGCATTATGAAGGCAGAATTGAACATGGGGTATAAAGAAGGAAACCAGGGAAGGGTCCAGGTTTCAGGACTGCCAGCACCTATACATGAGCGGGGGGATCAGGAAAGATGAAGCTGAATGGGGAGCTGGTGTCCCCGTCACAGGGAGAGGAAGGAAACCTCTCTACTTTGAGTAGAAGGACATGTAGGCAAAGTGGAAGGAGAATCATTTCTCTTCTTCCACCCAGGATGGGATTCATTTGCATTCAGGAGGCATTGGAGAACCTCACTGAGGCTGGCGAGTCTGGGGGTTGGCAGGAATGGCCCATGAGAGCACGGCCTTGAGTGTGTACTTAATGGGGGCCACGGTCCCCAGGAAATGGATGAGAGATAGCCTGGTACACGTACACGTGACTTGTTTCTCACATTCTAGGAAGATACCCGTGTGTCAGTTTCCAGAGCATGTTCCCATGGCCCCTGCTCAGGACCAGGTATGAAGACCAGCTCGGGGGCATCAAGGACTGGGAGAGGAGCAGCAGGAACTGTGGGCAGGTGGGTCTCTGGGGAAGCGGGCATCTGGGGCAGGGTTGTGGAAGCTTCTAGTTGTTCCTTGTCTTAGGCTGGGCCCCTCAGGGAAGGAAGGAGGCAGCAGAGACCGAGGATGGCATGTAGCAGGGGAGGAAGGAAGGAGCTGTGGACCCATGTTCACATTTGATTATCTGCTCATCATTCCAGAAATGTTCTCCACGTGTCTCCTATGTCCTCGGTGCTATTTTCCTCCTGGGTCACCTGTAGTGAGAGGACAGGCGGTCCCTGACATGGACTGTGCCTCCTCAGCCTTCCTCCCTAGGTCCTGATCGCCCTTCCCCATCCTCTCCAGTCTGTCCCACGGAGGGTCAGAGCGGGAGCCGTCCTCAGAGCAGCCAGTGGGCACCTGTCACATTCCTCTAAATGTGGACACCTTGCGCCCAAATAATCTAGAGATGGTCTCCACGGGGTTTCCCACCATCCAGCCCCTCTACCCACTTCCTTCCAAGAAGCCCTAGGACTCTGTGCACATCCTTTGACAGCCCTTGACCCCACCTACTTCCTGCAGGACCCCCACAGTCTTCTTGGGAGTTGGGAACCTCTCAGAACAATCCCTGAGGCTCCAGAGGGTGTGGACGGAGATGCGTCACCTGCTCTTTACTCCAGGTGGGCGCTGACCCTGTATGACCTGTGGGCTGCCCCTTCCACTGACCTGGCTCCTTCTAGGACTGACCTGGCTCTGTCCTCCTTGTCCATGACTCACAGTCAATCCATCGCTTCCTGTGGCCATAGATGGCAGAGACAAAGACGAGTAGCAGCAGCTTGGGGCCCAGGGAGAGAGCCACCAAGAGTGAAGGAGAGAGTTCTAGGTCTGAAAATGAAGGGACAGGAGGCAGCATCAGAGAGGGATCCAGGAGTCCACTCCCAGGGGCCTCCACTTACCCCAACCGAGGGAACCTGGGCCCATCAATGGTCTGAAGCTCATGAATTTCCCCTGTGAGAGGCTCGAGGCAGAATTCAGGGTAAGAAGTACTTCCTTTCACTCACCTTTTACCGGGCTGCCAGCTCTCCTTCCTGAGGGAAGACATGGGGACAATGAGAACTCAACAACATGCAAGTGAGCTTTACTGACTTGTTCCCCACACCCCATGGGGCAGGTCTGACACTCTCCTTCTGAGGAGGGAACAGGCTCATAGTTTACGGAGGGTCACAAGATGAGTGGGAAATCACTCACTGCTGTCCCGTAGGGTGAATCTGTGACCTTGTCTTTTGGACCAGGACATGTCCAGCCTTTCAGGGTCATAGCGATGAATATCAGCCCAGCCTCGAGTACATTGAGGACAATGTCATGGTGAATGAGGTGCAAGGCTGTCCTGCTTTCTTCCACGCACGGGCCTTGATGACCCCGTGTTCTCACGTGTTGAAGGAGCCCTCAGGGTGACCTGACCTCACAAGACCTGCTGCCTGGACAACACCCTAGAGAGGTAAGAAATGGGGCTTCAAACACCATCCAGACCCCGGTGCCAACATCAGGTAACATCTTTCTGTTGCACATAGATCATTGTTCTGGATGCATAGCTTCAGATTCTTTGCCTTTTTATAATGATTGCTCTTTGCTCTTAGATTTACATCAAGAAGTTCCAGTAAGTTTTTGAAATATACAGAATAATCTTTGAGGAAGAGGCAGAGACACCATTTTTACCCCTGGCATGTTGGCAGATGGTGGGTCCTAGCTGGGTGGCCCTCTGATCTTATACTCAGTTGAAACAGGTGCATTGCCCATGTTTGCACCTGCTTCTAGAGGGCAGCCTGCAGCAGAGGCCTGGAGGAAGAGCGGGTACAGAGGTTTCTCCCCTCCGCTCCATTTTAAAAAGTCAGTAATAGCATCCGGCTCGCCTGTTCTCTGTCCAAGTATGACTCTTCTGTGCTGCCTTGTGTTCACTATCTCCCTTTGCCAGTCTTGCCTCCTTCCCTGTCTCACATGCACGTGAATCGGGCAGCGCTCCACAGTGAGCTATCCCCCTTCTCGTATATCTTAGAGGCTACTTCCCAAGGCAGGTGACCTGCGGAGTTTGTCTGGGAGGGGTCTGGAAACCCAGCTCTAAGGTGCAGAGACAGACCCGGGTCTCAGTCAGCTGACTGGCCAAGAGGTCCCCAGCCTGGTGGGTGGCGGGGCAGGGGTAGGGCCCAGCCATCCCTGCTATTGTCACTGCTAAAACCTCACAGTGGTGACCTGGGATGATGTGAGCAGAGGATGGGAGTACCCTGGCAATCTGGAAATGAGTTGGGAATTACAGGAACTATGGGATTGGATGGGTGTTGCTGGGCTGATGCCTTTCAGAGAAAGACGATGCAAACTGAGACCAATGAATCACACCTGAAAGGTCAAGTGTGAAAGAGGACATCCGGGCAACATTGTAGACTCACACCTCCTAGAGCCGGAGGGAAGAAAAAGCTAAGGACATAATTGAGTCCACCATCACCATAAGAGCATCGGCGCTACAGAGAAGACTGGATTCTCAGCTTCAGTGCACCTGCTTTGCCAGAACAGGGCCGTGATGGGGAACGATGGGAGACAGATACTGAAATATGTGGGATAGGGACTTTGGAGACAGGGCATTCAAAGCCCTCAGGGCACTTGTGTCTGCTGAGGACAAGGCAGCACCTTAGTTACTCATCTCCAAATAGAACTTCTAAACCCAAAGGAAAAAGAATAAAAGGACAGTAAATTCTATGGAAATCTGGTTCTCAAGAGTCCTTGAAGACAATGCCCAACCTTCAAAATCTCTGGGAGACAAAAGAGAAAAGTCACCAAATCCAAAAGCTCAGTCACTTACACCGCTGTCCTCCTACCCTCACCAGCTGAAGGAAAGGGCAGGTGAAGGGGCCAAGGAGCCTGAAAGTTATTTAGAAATCCCACTGCCAATATTAAATCCAACTTAAATTAGAAAATATTGAAATGTGTCCCGCACCTCAGGACACAGATTATAGGAAACTGTTTCAAAGTATGCCTGACTTGCGACTTGGGATGGTTGGCCCAGATCCCTCAGAGTCTGTGAATAGGGTACCTTCCATGGCAAGAGAGACTTGTGTGGTCATTAGGTAGGGTTTTGAGTGGGTCGTTATCTTGGATTATCAGAGTGGAGCCAACAGAATCACAGAGACCTTTACAAGTGAAGGAGGGAGGCAGGAGAGTGGGAGCAGGAGGCATATTGACCGCAGCAGAAATAGGTCAGGAACGGGACCCTAGGCACTGGAACAGCAAGGACCCAGACTCTACCCCGGGGCGGCCAGAAGGAACGCTTCCTGACAACTCATTTCAGACTTTCTGCCTCTGGAAATGGAAGAAAGGAACGTGTGTCATTTTAAGCCACTGAGAGTGCGCTAATTTCTACTGCAGCCATAGGAACCTGAAACAGGGAGGCAGGGGCATTTTAAGAGAACCGTGCCAGAGTATCAAGAAGACGGTTGGAGCTTTCTTCCGCTGTGACCAGGACAGTGAGTGTGCAGAGACAGCAGGGCTGTGCCTCAGGCTGCTTGGCGTTTAACCTTGGCTCCTTGTTTTCCTGCTCGGGTCAGATCCCCTGAGCCTCGGTGTCCCCGTCTATGAACAGGGAAGACGAGGCCCCTCCCTGTAGCTCTGGTGATACGGAGTAGCTTTCATGATGAAGATACAGTATCTGGCCTGGTGCCGCCCAGGGTCCTCCTTCATCGGTTCTCACCTGAATGGGAAGCTTCGGGAAGAGGAAGAAGCAATCTGCTAGAGGCACAGGTCTTCCTGGTGGTGGAGCCAGGTACTAGCTGTGCTGCTGAGACAAAGGATGCACCCCTGGGACCTTCCGTAATACCTGCACCATCAGAAAAGCCACCTTCCCTGCCTATGGCCAAGGGATGTGCAAAGACTCAGTTGCTGTTATGTGAGTTAGTGCCTGAATTGCACGAGGGTTTTCTGGACAGACCCACAGCCAATACCCAACCTCTGGCCTCTCCTCCAAACTGGACTGTCTGTAGAAACAGGGAGCCTGGGCTGCTTCTCACTGTGACTTTTCTGAAGGTGAAAGAAAGACATTGTCCCACATCCCTTCCCTGGGTGCGCTTGTCCTCACCGGAAGGGAGGGGAACGTAAGCTTCATGAGACAAAAGCCGTCGCCTGTTTTGTTCCCTGCGACTTCCACAGCACCCAGAGCAGGGAAGGCACCCAGCAGGTGCTGAGTAAGTGCTGAGTAAAGGGAGTGCTGGCCACATGAAGCAGAGGTCTCTCCAGAGGCAGGGGTGAGGTGAGGCCCTGTAACTGGGAAAGTCACTCAGACTTTCGGTCCCTCATCACTGGAACCAGAGGGCTGGTCAGGATTGGAAAAGGGAAGAGCTGGGAGCCTGCAGGCTGAGGTTCCAGATTTTCCACCAATTACCAGCCATGGGGCCTTGAGCAAATAGCACAACCTCTCTAGGCCTCAACGTCCCTGATCCATGGAAGGGGCTGATTCAGGGGCACCCATAACAACACCTGATCCTTATCTGTTGCTCAAGCGATGGAGGACATTCTTATTGACTTGTTGTCACAACCAGGGGACGGAGCGATACTCACTGCTCACGGTGACCTGGGTGCCTGGTCCAGACTTAAACTCCACCTCACGGGCCCCTTTCTGGAACTTCACACAGTAGTAGGTTCCAGCGTCTGCTGGGGTGATGTTATTGATGCGGATGGAAAAGTCCATGTTGTTTCTCCTTGTGGCGTCTGAAACATTTGTTACGCGGGGAAAGTGGCCTCCTCCGAAACTGAAGATTAACTCCCGGTCTGGCCCTGTCCCCCTGAACCACCTGATTTTCCCAACGGGGACCAAGGAGGTCAGGGTGCAGTGCAGAGTGGCTGTCTCTCCAGCTGTGACAGACACCAGCTTCTCGGGCTGGATCACCTGCAGCTCCGCCTCACCTGCCACACCTGGAGGGAGAACAAAGCAGGTATTTAGCATCCTTGTGCGATCCTGTCCGTCCGCTCAAGTGTTTATCCACAACAGCTTTCACTGAGTGCACACCGTGAGCTCAGCCCGCTGCGTGTACACAGCATGTAGCCCTTGCGATGAGCCTGTGACATGGGACCCTGTTACAGACGAGGAAAGGGAAACACAGAGAGATTCAGTGATACATATATCACATTTTCTTTATCCATTCATCAATAATGGACATTTGGGCTCTTTCCATACTATTGTTGATAGTGCTGCTATAAACACTGGGGTGCATGTGTCCTCCAATCTGTGTTTTTGTATACTTTGGAGAAATATCCAGTAGTGCAATTGCTGGCTAATGGGGTAGCTCTGTCTCTAGCTTTCTGAGGAACCTCCATACTGCTTTCTAGAGTGGTTGCACCAGGTTACATTCCCACCAACAGTTTGAGAAGGTTTCCCTCTGTCCGCATCCTGGCCAACATCCGTTGTTTCCTAAGGCGTTACTTTTGGCCATTCTGACAAGTGTGAGCGGTATCTAATTGTAGTTTTGTTTTGTATTTCCCTGGCGATGAGTGGTTTTGAGCATGTTTCTTCACGTATCTGTCAGTCGTTTGTACGTTTTCTCAGCCATCCAAAGGAATGCAATATTGCCAATAGCAATGATGTGAATGGAACCAGAGTGTGTTATGCGAAGGGAAACAGGTCAGTTGGAAAAAAGATACCGAATGATTTCAGTGATAGGTGGAGTTTAAGAAACAAAACAGATGAACAGAGGGGAGGGGAAGGAAAAGTAAAATAGGATAGAAATAGAAAAGGAGCAAACCATAAGAGACTTTTTAGCTATAGAGAACACTGTGGGTTTCTGGAGGGGAAGTGGGTGGGGGGATGGGCTAATTGAGTGATGGGCATTAAGAAGCAGAATTGTCGTGAGGAGCACTGGGTGTTATATGTAAGCAATGAATTATTAAATTCTATTCCTGAAACCAATACTACACTATATGTTAACTAACTTGAATTTATTTTGTTAAATATAATTTATTGTCAAATTGGTTTCCATACAGCACCCAGCGCTCATCCCAACAGACATAAATAAATGGAAAAACCTCCTCTGTTCGTGCATTGGAAGACTTCATATTGTTAAGATGTCAATACTACCTAAAGCGATCTACAGATTCAATACAGTTGTTATCAAAACCCCCATGGCATTTTTTTTTTTTTTTTTTGCAGAAATGGAAAAGCCCATTCTAGAATTCATATGCAGTTTCCAGGGACCTAGATCACCAAACAATCCTGGAAAAGAAAATAGTTGGGAAACTCATACTTCTTGATTTAAAAACCTACTACATAGTATAATAATTAGAGTACTATAGTACTGAAAAGAATAGAGGGATAGAGGGGCGCCTGGGTGGCGCAGTCGGTTAAGCGTCCGACTTCAGCCAGGTCACGATCTCGCGCTCCGTGAGTTCGAGCCCCGCGTCGGGCTCTGGGCTGATGGCTCAGAGCCTGGAGCCTGTTTCCGATTCTGTGTCTCCCTCTCTCTCTGCCCCTCCCCCGTTCATGCTCTGTCTCTCTCTGTCCCAAAAATAAATAAATGTTGAAAAAAAAAAAAAAGAATAGAGGGATAGAGCAATGAAATTGAATAGAAAGCTAGAAATAAACCCTCACATATATGGTCAAAAGATTTTCAACAAGAGTGCCAAGACCATTCAGTGAGGGAAAGAGTACTCTTTTCAACATGAGATGCTGGGAAAACGGGATATCTACATGCAAAAAAAGAATTTGAACCCTCATTTTACTCTATATAGAAAAATGAGCTCATTGGATGAAGGGACCTAAATGTAAGAGCTAAATGTATAAAATTCAGAGAAAAAACCGTAGGCAAAACTCATGATATTGGATTTGACAATGATTTCTTGGATAAGAAACCAAAGGAACACATAATAAAATTAAAATATATGTAAATTGGACTTCATCAAAATTAAAAACTTTTGCATAGCAGGGGACAATATTAAAAGTGAAAGAGGGACACCTTGGTCGCTCAGTCGGTTAGACATCCAACTCTTGATTTCAGCTCAGGTCATGATCTCACAGTTCATGAGTTCAAGCCCCAGGTTGGGCTCTGTGCTAACAGTGCAGAGCCTGCTTGGGATTCTCTCTCTCTCTCTCTCTCTCTCTCTCTGTCTCTGCCCCTCCTCCACTTGCACTCTCTCTGTCTCTCTCAAACAAACTTACAAAAAAAGTGAAAGAACTCACAGAATGGGGAAAATATTTGCAAAGCATATGTCTCAGAAAGAATTAACAACCGGCATATATAAAGAATTCCTACAATTCAACAAAAAAATGTCAAATAGCCCTGTTAAAAAATGGACCAAAGACTAGAATAGACATGTCTACAAAGAAGATACTCAAATGGTGAGTAAGCACAAGATATTGAACATCACTAGTCATTAGAAAAATGAAAATCAAAACCACAATGAGATACGCTTTCATCCCTGAGAATGGCTTTTATCAAAAACAAAAGAAAGCAAAACCAAAATACAAGAAAATTAAAAATCAGAAAATAAGGCTTGAGTAAGCTGTGGAGAAACTGAAACTCTTGTATGTTGATGGTAGAAATATAAACTGGTGCGGCCGTTGTGGAAACAGTTGTGTTATCATTAATCATTAAAATTTAAATGTAGAATTTGTATGATCCAACAATTCCACTCTTAGGTAAATATCCCCCAAATTACAGGTAAGTACTCAAATACTTGTACATCCTTGTTCATAGCAGCATTACTCATGATAACCGAAAGGTAGCAGAAAAAATTCATTTCTACCCATAGATGAATGGATAAACAAAATGTTGCTGTATGTATGTATGTGATATATATATATATATATATATATACACACATATACACACATATGTATATATATATATACACACACATACACACACACACATATATATGTATATATATGGAATTTTATTCGGCCTTAATAAGCATTAATAAGCAATGATAGTCTTGGGGTGCCTGTGTGGCTCAGGTGGTTGTGCGTCTGACTTCGGCTCAGTCATGATCTCACGGTTTGTGAGTTCGAGCCCTGCATGGGTCTCACTGTTGTCAGCAAAGAACCTGCCTCGCATCCTCTGCACCTCTCTTTCTGTGTCCCTCCCCAGCTCACACTCTCTTTCTCAAAAATAAACAAACAACAATAACAGCAGTGACAACAACCAAGAGCAGTGATAATCTGATATGTACTGTAATCTGGATGAACCTCAAAAGTATCATTCTAGGGTGACACATGCCAGATACAAAAGGACAGATACACGGTTCCATGTATATGAAGTACCTAGAAAAGACAGATTCATAGATACTAAAAAGTAGTTGCTGTGGGGGTGGAAGGAATGGAGAATTCTTGCTTAACGGGTACAGCGTCTGCTTAGGATGTTGAAAAAAATCCTGAAATTTGCAGTGGTACCAGCTTCACAACTATGTGAACGTACTTAATGCTACTGAATTGTATCCTGAAAAATGGCTAAAATAGTAGATTTCGTGTTATGTATATTTTAGCACAGTAAGACATATCTACTCAAACAAGGTGATCCCCCCCCCCATGTAGAGCCTTTCAATTGGACTAAATGGCTCAAGGAGAAAGAAAATGTATCATTCCAGGGGCTCATGCATTTGAGAAATCTGCCCCCGAAGGGGGAGATAGAACCATGGGAATGTCTAAGCAGGGGAACTAGTAGGCTACAAAATTGTTCATGTTCTGCAAAGAGTTGTGGGACGTTGCCTATGGCTGAACATTGAGTTATGCATTGAAAGGACGCGAGCCGCCTTTGGAGCAATCGTTGAACTGCGTGTGCCAGACTTTGCAGGTGGATTTCACTGCCTCAGTGACTAGCCAGTCTCTGAAGACACAGAGAAATACAAAATTATTCCTTATTACTGGAAGTGTCCTAAAAACTAGGCAGGGATATAAATCAGAGAAACGGGCTGTTCTGGCACCACACACACAACTGTGTTCTTTTCTATTGCTCAGCTACTCCTCGGGGAGAAAATTTGTGGTTCACTCTTGCAGAGTGTGAGCTGGTAAAACCCCTGCACTTAGCACGATTTGTGACCGAGCATGTCTCCTCAGGAGGGCACGTGTTACCACAGCCAGGTCTTGGGTGTGCCAAGAACATCAAGTGGTTTGGTTTATGAGTTGGGATGAGGAGATTGGGGTGAGGAAACTGAGCTGCTAAGACAAAACTGGGAAGACACAGGAATGCATTTTTGGAGGAAGACATGGAGGGACCAGGAGAGGGAGGAGGTAAGAGGGATCAGAGCATCAAGAGGAACTAGGGTGGGGCGCCTGGGTGGCTCAGTCGGTTAAGCGTCGTCGGACTTTAGCTCAGGTCACGATCGCATGGTTTGTGAGTCTGAGCCGTGCGTTGGGCTCTGGGCTGACAGCTCAGAGCCTAGAGACTGTTTGGATCCTGTGTCTCCATCTCTCTCTCTCCCTGCCCCTCTCCTGCTTACACTCTGTCTCTCTCTCTTTCTCTCTCTCAAAAATAAATAAATACTTTTTAAAAAACCTTCAAAAAAACAAACAACAGGAACCAAGGAAAGGTGTAAACTCTGCCATCTGTGAAATCTATATTCCTCATAGATTTCCATCTCTGGCCCAGGTCTCGTCTCTGAACTCTGGATTTGTATGTGCAATGAGCCACTCAACAATTTGCATAGATAGAAGCAAACCTCTCACTGTTCACACTGTCCCCAACCGAACTCCTCAGTTTCCCCCACATCCTTGTACATCTCAGATGAGGCACCTTTATTCTCCGAGATGCTCAGGTCCAAGCCCTTGGGAACCTCTCTTTCCACTCCAAATCCTATGTATCAGGAGATCCTGTTGTCTCCCCTTCTGTATGCACCCACAATCCGACCTCTTTCCCCTTCCTCTCCTGGCTGCTGTCTGGGTGCAAAATGCTTTTCCTTGTTTGCACGAACACGACGAACTCTTGAATGCTCTAGTCGCTTCTGTCTGTGCCCTATGGTGTCTAATCTCAACCAAATGCTAGCATAAGTTAAAACTCATGGTGGATCATGTCATTTCTGTCTTCAGAACCTTGCAGGGACAACCATTTTACTCAAGAGTGAAAGCCCAAACCCTTGAACAGAACAGGAGGATTCTACTCTCCTGCTGTTCCCGTGCTGTTCAGGAAGGCTCTTTCCCCAGAAGATCACATGGCTCACACCCCAACTTCTTGTAACCTTTGCTCTAATCTCCCTGTTCAGTGATGCCCACCCAGGCTACCTCTTTAAATTTTTTTTTTTCAACGTTTATTTATTTTGGGGACAGAGAGAGACAGAGCATGAACGGGGGAGGGGCAGAGAGAGAGGGAGACACAGAATCGGAAACAGGCTCCAGGCTCTGAGCCATCAGCCCAAAGCCCGACGCGGGGCTCGAACTCCCGGACCGCGAGATCGTGACCTGGCTGAAGTTGGACGCTTAACCGACTGCGCCACCCAGGCGCCCCTACTTTTTCTCTTTTAATAACCAGTATGCCCAAAGCTCACATAACAGTTCTTGGCACCTAGTAGTTACCCAGTAAATATTGGTGTAATGTGTGAATTGCCCAGTGTGATCCCTGTCTGAGACCCTGCCCTCTATTTTCGGTGGAGAATTTCTCAGGAAAATATAATGAGAAGCTGAATTTCCCATGAAGATGACTGTGGGGGAAAAAACTACTTGCATATACTCAGAAAACGGAAGAGCCCAAAAGAAACAAACCACAAATGCTCTTCCCCCCCCCCACCCTACCCTTCCCTCCACCCACTGGCAGATCTGCAGAAATCTCATGGGATGGATGTGGGGCCATAGGGTTCGAGAAGAGCAATGGTTAGACCCGTGAGATCTAGAATCAGCCTGCCTGAGTTCAAATCATGATCCTGCCTTCACCACTGAGTGACCGTGGACTTTTCTGTGCCTTCTTTGCTTATCCATAACGTAGGGGGACAGAAATGTCTACCTTGGGTACAAAGATCACAGGACATAACAGACACATACATTTCCAAGTGGGTGTGGAACATGGTGAGTGCTCAGGAAATTGGAAAGTGATTACACATGAGATTTCCTGAGGCCTGGAGGCATCAGCTGACACTAGATGGTTGGGATCAGGATATGATTACAGGAGCAGATCATACAGGCAGGATCCTCGGTATCTTGTACCCCCTTTTTTCCTCCCCACTCCGGTCCAGCATGGAGGACCTCCAAGGTAGTAACGCACAAAGTTCTACTCCTTCTACCCAGAGAGAAGTTTGCTTGTCTTAAGAGCTTGGTGGATGGTGAGCAGTACTTTAGAGAAGTAGAAAAAGTGGGTGAGGAGCTGAGAGACAGGGAACCAAACATCTGTTCACTGTGCATTTCACGTAGAGTGGACGTGGCGTGAGGAAATCGATAAGAAAGCGTTTTCAGATATCCCATACCCACGTGTGCACCCTTCCTCATGCCCAAACATGTACACACACACATACACAAGTGCATTCCCAAGTATACATGAAGTGTGGCCCAGCATGCTAGCATACAGATCACTTTGAGGATTTCATGAAATTGTCATACATGTTGAAAGCTCAGTAAAAGATTTGGCGCATAGGAATCACCCAACACATCGTTAACCAAAGTTTGGGAGGACACACAGCAGAACTGGAACTCTGAGACCTCGGAGTGTGCTAATTGATGCCTCTTCTTCTGTTTCCCTCTGTGTATTTTCTGATGTTTGTTTAGTTAGCCTCCTGAGAAGCCGAGCAGCATAACACGGTGGAAAGAATGAACCGTGCAGCTGGGTGGCCTGGACGTGAATCCCGGCAGATGCACTGACTTAGGTAGCTGACATTGGGCCATTAACTCTCTCTGCCTGAATTTCCCCATCTGCTGATCAGCAGTACAGTCCTAGCTATCAGGCAGGGGTGTTGTGAGAATTAGATCATTTAATACCTACAAACTTGTCCTTGTGACAGATGGAAGCCTCTACTGTCTGGATGCCTCTGGTAACAAGCTGTAGGTGATGGATGCATAGAGGAAATGCTCAGATCCCCGACTTCCTGCTCTCAGATGACACCCAGTCCTTGGTCTTCTGTGGCAGCCCTGGGTAGCACACCTCTGGTTACCTGCAAGCCCTTGATGTCCAGGAACATGGGAGGTGTTGTGGGATCAGGAAGAGGGGATTGTACCCCAAGGCAGTGCTTACCTGTGAGTCCCAACAGCAGAGCCAGCAGCAGGTAAGGAGGCAGGTGGGGCCCGGAGGCAGGGGCCAACATTGCGGAGGCCTGGGGACCCTGCTCTGTGCAAATGTGTATGCTGGGTAGAATGAGCCTCTGTTCTGTAGAGAGGAAAAGCCTTCCTTCTCCTGTCATTAGGGGAAGTGCCTATGATGGGGTGACATGGCTGTGGGGCAACAGTCTGCTTCTAGATTGTGAAAGAGAAGTCAGGCAGAGAAGACCTCACTTGGTGAGGGGTCCTCTTCTCTTTTTCAGAGAGTGGAGAGGCCCAGGAGAGATAATGCTTCCTGCCTGCATGGGGTCTCTGCCCCCTCCAGTGGGCCCTCCCCCCATCTTGAGGTCTTCATGGTGATTCCCCACTTGGGAGCCCCAGACCAAGGTGGATCTGCAGTTGGGGGCTGTGTCCCAAGCTCCTGAGCCCAGAACACTTAGGGGTGGCTGGCTTGTGGCCTCAGGCTCCACCAGCCTGCCAAACGATGGGGGAGATGTCTAGAAGTGAAGTAACTCCATGCTTTGGAGTTACTCAGCAGGAAGAAAAGTGGTTCACCAGAGCCTGCCCAACTTTGTGATTGAACGAGGTCTATTCCAGAAATGACTCCCCATTCCAACCCTGTAGTTGCAACTGGTAAAATTTCACCCAAAGGCATAGTACAGTGTGGACCTCTGAAGTTGTCTGTGCTTGGGGCACCTGGCTGGCGCAGTCTGCAGAACATGTGACTCTTGATTTGGGGACTGTGGGTTTGGGCCACACCCGTGCAGATTACCTAAAAAAAAAATCTTAGAATAAAAAAAAGCAGTTGTATGTGCTTACATCATCTTCTCTCCTCTTTCAGGAGAGGCAGTGGGTTATAGGTCCCAGAAATCATCACACTCCCAGGCATTTATCTGAGTGAAATGAAAACCAGGACCTCACAAAAACCCATGTGGGAATGTTTACAACATTCTGTAATGACAAAAAGCTGGAAACATCCCAAACGTCCAGTAATAAAGGAAGGCTTGGACGAACTATAGTGCATTCATAGCAGGAACTACTACTCAGCAGTAAGAAGGAATAAATTATTTACATGTGCACAACTTGTTAAGTTTCCGAAGGCATTATGTTGAGTGAACAAAATCAATCTCAAAACGCCACGTGCTGTGGGAATCCACTTACACAACATTGTCGAAGTTGTAGAGAACAGATGGGCATGTGCCAGAGGCTTGGTGTGGTGGGGCGGGTGGGCACTCTGAAAGGGTAGCACAAGGCAAACCTTTGCGGCCATGGAGTTGTTCTGTACCCTGAATGCGGTGGTGTTTACACCAAATACACATGAGCGGAAAGACGCAAACAAAAGCTGGGGATGTTACAAGACTGAGCTATAAAACACAGTGTCGTTGTCATTCTAAGGGGGACACCCACTATGACGTTATCTAAAATTAACATATTAAGATGATGGGATAGAAACATGCACGCAGGGTGTGGGGTCCGGAATACCAGAGCGTCGTATCCCCATCATTCATAGTGGGATGTCAGTGAACAATGCCTACGGGGGAGATGTCTAGAAGTGACAGTGTAAGCATGCTATATGAGATCTGGCTATGACATCTAGAATAATCAGTTAAAGATAATCAATTAAAAGAGTGGAAAATGGTTGCCTCTGACGGGTGGAAAATAGTGGAAGGTAGGGAGATTCCGGTTTTAATATGTAGAACATACCGAACTCTTTGCCTCTTAAACCACGTGCATATGTAACTTTAATAAAGGTAAAATCTAATCTAGGTGAGTAGGTCGATAAGAGCTACTCATAAAAGAATGTCCACACGATAAGCGGTAATACAGGCTTGATAAGCTTTCTGAATATATAAGATCGATGTTCAAAACTCAATTACCATCCTACACAGAGGCCCAAAACCCAGTGCAAACAATAATAAGAATTTTTAAAGATTCCATAAACTAGAAAGTTAATACTCTAGTTAATAGCTCTAACTAGGGATGCATAAGAACCATAACGGAACAAAAAGCCCTATAAAATGGTGAATTAAAAGTCATCAAAGAGGGGCGCCTGGGTGGCGCAGTCGGTTAAGCGTCCGACTTCAGCCAGGTCACGATCTCGCGGTCCGGGAGTTCGAGCCCCGCGTCGGGCTCTGGGCTGATGGCTCGGAGCCTGGAGCCTGTTTCCAATTCTGTGTCTCCCTCTCTCTCTGCCCCTCCCCCGTTCATGCTCTGTCTCTCTCTGTCCCAAAAATAAATAAACGTTGAAAAAAAAAAATAAAAGAAACAGGAGACCGTATCAGCAATATGTTACTATTTCGCAAAGACAGGATGGGTAGGACCAAGGATTTCTTACATATTTCCTATATATTTTGGAACCAAAACAGGCTCATTCCATGCAGTAACCTCAAAACATACAGGTGTCAAATAAAATCGTACTTGCAGAAGGTGTGTATGAAAGTAAAATGCGTTCCTCCAAAATAAGGAAGCAGCTCAAGTGTCTACCAAGAGATGAATGGATAAAGAAGATGTGGGTATATGCCCACATATACACTGCACATATACACACATTACTCAGCCATAAAAAGGAATGAAGTCTTGCCACTTGCAGCAACATGGATGGGTCTAGAGAATATAATGCCAGCTGAAATAAGTCAGGGAAAGACAAATACCATATGCTTTCACTCACATGTGGAATTGAAAACAAAACAAACGAACGATTTAAAAAAAGGAGGCAAACCGAAAAACAGACGCTTACCTGTCGAGAACAACCCGATGGTTACCAGAGAGGAAGGTGGGGGGTGGGGGGTGGGGAGGGGGATGGGAGAAATGGGTGAAGGCAGTAAGAGTACACTTAATCGTCATCAGCCGTGACGAGTGCATAGAATTGTTGAATTCCTATGTCGTGCACTTGAAACTGATATAACACTGTATGCTAACTGCACTGCAATTCACATTTTAAAAATAAAAAAGGAAAGTAAAATGTGCTCTGAAAATGAAGGGCTGTTCCTCATCACAGACAGAATGGGAACCTTCTTTTCTTGACCCTCTTGATTGTCTTCGGGGCAGAGGCAGGGCCAGTGTGAAGCTCAGTGCATCAGGGTCTCTGGGTCCCTGAGACCAGGGTCCATCCTTGACGCTGCTCTGAAGAGAGCGGAACATCAGGACTCGGCTCCGAGAGAAGGAACATCAGGAGGGTGTGGGGAAGGGGGCATGTCCAGGATGGAAATGGGGGCGGGGGGCAGCTTCTCCCACCATGTGAGCCTCCTGGACGGGGTGGAAGGAAATTCATTGCAGAGCATGCAAGAGCGATCGTGGAAAAATCATTCATTCATTCATTCTTGTATTAATTCCCCCAATACTGCCTGGATTCATGGTACAGATCAGAAATAAGACCCCTACTCACTACACCCCAGCCCCCTCTGTTTGGTATTCTGAACTCCCCCCACCCCACATTCACGTTTGCCAGTAGTCTGAGCCTCCCTGTGCCTCGATGGGCTCCATTAGTAGATTTTAGCAATACTTTTCTAATTCATTCCAAAATAAGTCCTACGAAAACTGGCGTATATAACAGTATATGGGGGCACTCTTTGGAGCTTGAGGCTCAAAGCTTTGACCTTCATCCCACCTCCACACCTTGGATCCCCACCCAGGGTTCCAAGGGACTTCATTTAAAAGCTCCAAACCCAGGGCACTCCTGGATGCGTGAGAGCTGGAAGCCTCTGAGATTTCCAACAGACCTTTGGAGAAAACAAGTGTTTCCAGCCTTTTCTTGAGCCTGGATCTCCCTGGGAGGCACAGTGTGAAACAGTGGCCTTACCCTGGACTCCTCTTGCCAGCCCATGATGGTGACCATGACCTCTCTCCTTATGTACTAAGACCTGCCCCCAACTCACCTGTTACCGGCTCCGCCACCCGCAGATGTAGGTGACTATGAAACTCATCGCCAGCAGCACCTTGAAGCCCAGAAGGAATGCCACAAAGATGAGGACAGGCATCTCAGGACCTAAGTACCAATGGGCAGAAGGACACGGCAAAGGGGACACTGTGAGTTTAAATACCTCACTCCACTCAGGAGACAAAGGTGACCTAGTTGCTCAGAGCAGTGGAGGTGAGCTTACCTGAGCTTCTGATGGGCTTGTATGTGTCGTGTGCTTCCGTAGACAGTATGAGGCTGGCCTGGATGGGAGGTTGGGTCTTGTGCTGCACCTTACAGGTGAGCACCTGTTCAGACCCCGGCCCTGACACGTTCACCAAATGCAAGCCTTCCAGGGTGTAGGTCCCATCGCTACTCTGCTTGGATGTGAGCTGCTCAGCTCCCTTGATCGTATGGCAGTTCTCCGTCCAGGTGAGATGCACACTCTGTGGATAGAATCTCTGCACGCGGCAGGTGACAGCCACCAAGTCTGAGGAGTGTGAAGACTGGGACACTGTCACTGTAGGGGGAACTGACACAGCCCAGAGAAAGCAGACAACCACTATAGGGAGGCCACTGTGGGAGCGTGGGAGTTGCCTGAAGATGGGTCATCTGCCCAGGGTCTGCCCCAGAGGAGGATCCAGGTACTTGTGAACAGATTCTTGCATAGGTAAATGCATGGCTGAATGAGAGTGTGCTTTGAGTGAATGCATGCTTGGTGCATGGTCGGGTCGAGGAACACATGAAGCAAAGAATGAGTGGGCTTGATGAAAGCCTCCAAATCTTGCTCTCTCTTTTTCCACTTTGGCCATGAAGGATGCAAAGATGAACATTAAATGCCATTTAAGAACCTACAAGTCAGGTGACCCACTCCATGACTTGATGATTCTACGAGATGAAGATTCACGGACTCTACATCTTTACGACTCCAAGGTCCTGAGATTTTACATCGGAAGGAACTAGGATTTGGAGAGGTTCCGTAACCTGCCCGAGGTCACAAGTGGCAAAGCTGGGGTTACACCAGACACAGCGTGTTTTACTGTCGTGCTAGTCGGACACCCCAACTTTCAGGCTCTATGCATTTATGATTCCTGGCTTCTGAAATTATGATCCAACGACTTCTAGAACTCTTTGCAACTGGGTTTTCAGCTGGGCAGTAGAATGTATTCACAATGAGGAGACTTTGGAATATGTTTCAATAGGACACAACCTTGTATGTTTCAGTAGAATTCGTATGACGTCCCAGCGTCTAACACTAAACCAAGGGAGATCCCGATTGTGGGCCCTACACTTGACAGCACAGCCAGATGCAAGAACTTGTGTGAGTCACTTTCCCTCTCTCTCCAAAACTCTTAAATTATGCAATTGTCTAAGGTCAGATCATGTTTCACGGGTCTAGCTGAGACAGATCTCAGCCCTTGGTGTAAGGTAGAGACAGGACTCCTTACGTAGTGCAACTAGAAGGAACAAAGGGCATCTGTCCCCTAAATGTCCTCCCTTCATACTCAGCCCATCCAGATGGATCATTTCTGTCAGTGCTGCTTAAGAAATGGGTGGGACAGGGGCACCTGGGTGGCTCAGTTGGTCAAGCATCCGACTTTGGCTCAGGTCATGATCTCGCGGTCCGTGAGTTCAAGCCCTGTGTCGGGCTCTGTGCTGACAGCTCAGAGCCTGGAGCCTGCTTCAGATTCTGTGTCTCCCTGTCTCTCTCTCTCTCTCTCTCTCTCTTTCTCTCTCTCTCTCTCTGTGCCCCTCCCCCCTCATGCTCTCTCTCAAAAATAAGTAACTGTTAAAATTTTTTTTAACATTTAAAAGATGAGTGGGACAGCCAAGGCAGGACGCCGTCCCCAGAAGTCACTATCTGTACTCAGCCTTTCCCCCCTCAGCACACAGGCAAGGATTACTCCCAAGCAAAGAGGAAAAACTGGAGAAGGGAGCATTCAGGATGGACGAAGCCTGGGGTCCAGGAAGGATTGGCCAGGGTAAGTAAGAGGGGGTTAGAGGATGCCAAAGACCACAGAAAGGAGGGACAGGCTCAGATGCCCTTTCTAGCCACCAGGGAGCTCTCCTGGCCGTGTGGTATCCAGGCAGCGTCCGGAGGACAGAGACCCAGGCCCAGCGGATGATCACTGTTTCGACACACAGAATGGCAGTGCATGTGTGGTCCCCTCTAATCCTCACAAAACCACAAGAGCTGAACAGGGCATATGCTACCTAGTATCAGAAAACAACAACAAAAAGCCACTTAGAAGGAACCTGTAGCAAACAGGCCCCGATCTCATAAAAATTCTCAAGGAAGAACTGGTTGAAACTTCATCTGGTAAAACGTTTCAGTGATGAAACTAATTTTGTTTAATTTACATCTTAATTCAATATAAAATATAACCACAGCGATGCGCCGACTCTTGGAAGGAGCGAGTGCTGCAAGTCTAAGGAAGTAGAGATAATTTTCCCCCAAACCTGACTCTACGTCCTACCAGTGAATCCATACGGTACCTGCACATTTCACATTTGCGGCACCATCATTAAAAGGTCGTTGAAAAATTATTTGAATGTCCTGTCGATTTTCACAGGGGCCTCTATTCAATCAATGCGTTCTCTCTTTAAGTTTTTAATGCTTATTTATTTTTGAGACAGAGAGAGACAGAGCACGAGCAGGGGAGGGGCAGAGAGAGAGGGAGACACAGAATCCGAAGCAGGCTCCGGGCTCTGAGCTGTCAGCACAGAGCCCGACGCGAGGCTCGAACTCACGAACCGCGAGATCATGACCTGAGCCAAAGTTGGATGCTCGACCGGCTGAGCCACCCAGGCGTCCCAACAATGTGTTCTCTTTTGAAGTGCCCACGGAATGATGAGTATCATGGATCTTCTTCGTTTTCCATCTGGAAGCACTCAGAGGCTTTGCCTGTGATGCCTGCGGTCCCCCCATCATTGGCATCAACTTCTCGAAATACAACTTTGGCAAGATCTCTGATTTCATTTCACAATGGATGCAGATTCCTTCTGCATAGCGCGGTCTCTTGCTTGCCACGCTTCAATCAAGGCAAGACTGATCTAGAGCAGAGGGTTTCTAGACTACGCACCGCCTCCCCCAGCTGCTGGTTCAGAGCGGCCGTGCTGGGAGACTTGTCCCTCCTCGAACCCCCACGACACTTCCCGCATTCTCCGCCTTGGGATTGCTCCATAACCACGAAATGTCACCCAGACCATGCAAGCACATCCCAGCTTCCTTCTCCCCACCACCCCCCAAGGGACAATCCCCAGGAATGGTCTACCCAGTTCCTGAGAGGGTCCCAGTGGGGCTGAGCCTCATTTGTCCACAAGGGCAACCATTCAATAACTCACCCTTTCTTGAGTGTCCTGCCTTCCCTGTCTGACCCTCCCCACCCCTTATCCCAACCTCTGTGCCTCTGTGGATCCCTTCCCGAACACCTGCACCTGGTCCTGGTTTGAGGCTTGCCGTCAAGGGAACCCAGATAAAGACACCCACAGTGGCATTTCTGGGACGGGAAACCCAGCAGAGGTGCAGCCAGTGTTGAGCAGCGAGGGGTTTGAGTGGGGGCTAGTTTTACAAGTAATTCATTTGTGAATATCTGTATTTTCTAGGATTTTTGCTTTCCTACGCAACTGTCCTAACTCCAGGGAGTTATATAATAAATACTCAGGTAATGAAGAACTCTCTGAATTATCATTTTCCTACTTTACGCTCAAATATACTGAGGCTGGGAGAGCCTAAGTAACTAAGCAGGCAATCCCGTAGATGGCAAAGAGTGGATAGAAGCCTGAGTTCACCTCTTGCACTGCTGGTGGGAATGCAAACTGGTGCAGCTGCTCTGGAAAACAGTATGGAGGTGCCTCAAAAAATTAAAAATAGAACTACCCTACGACTCAGCAATTGCGCTACTAGGCATTTATCCAAGGGATACAGGTGTGCTGTTTCGAAGGGGCACATGCACCCCCATGTTTATAGCAGCACTATCGACAATAGCCAAAGTATGGAAAGAGCCCAAATGTCCATCGATGGATGAATGGATAAAGAAGATGTGGTATATATATACAATGGAGTATTACTCGCCAATCAAAAAGAATGAAATCTTGCCATTTGCAACAACGTGGATGGAGCTAGAATGTATGATGCTAAGTGAAATAAGTCAGTCGAAGAAAGACAAATATATGATATCACTCATGTGGAGGTTTAAGATACAAAACAGCTGAATGTGAGGGAAGGGAAGTAAAAATAAGACAGAAACAGAGAGGGAGACAAACCACAAGAGACTCAAATACAGAGAACAAACTGAGGGCTGCTGGCGGGGTGTTGGGTGGGGGGGAAGGGCTAAAGGAGTGAGAGGCACTAAGGAGGGCACTTGTTGGGATGAGCACTGGCTGTTACATGTAAGTGATGAATCACTGAATTCTATTCCTGAAATTATTATTACACTATATGTTAACTAAGTTGGATTTAAATTTAAAATAATAATAATAATAATAATAATAATAATAAAAGAAGCCTGAGTTCATATGAAAAATCTCTCATCACTGGCTTTGCAACCTGGGGCTGACTTTACTTCTTTGAACCCGAGTTTTCTTCTGTAAATCCTCAAGGGCACAAAGAGCACGAGGCAGTGGCACACTTTTAATTCGTCAACCCACATGAGTGTGCTTTACTGACTGTGTGGTGTGCTCATTTGAGGTGTTAATGTCAGTATTTTCATTCGTGTAAAATGATGTCTTTCCTGCCACAATAATAGTGAAAATATTGAGGAAAATATTTTGTAGACTTTAAAGTCCGATGCACATTTAAGGAATTAAATATTACTGCTGTGCAACCTTGGACCACTCACTTGCCTTCTCTGGGGGTTAGACTCGTCATAAACAACGGGATGCTTGCTATAATTCTTCCTAGGCATGATGCCCATGACCTCACCGAATTTACAGGCCTGCCAAGCATGGGTCCAGGCCAGGAAAAGCGACAACAACAAAAAAATCAGATGACACATTGGGCCCTTACCTAAGTATGAGTAATCGTCCAAAGACGACACAGTCCCTAAAATTTAGAAGCTGCAAACACTTAACATCCTCTTCATATAAAAACAGCAATAATAAAAACATGAACTTCCTGGAAGATACTGTTCCCCATTGTACAGATGAGGAGACTGAGTTCAGAGAGGTGACGTGAATGGTACAAATAATAATTAGTAGCCGCCCCAGCGACTGCCACCCTGAACGGTTAGCATGAGCAAGGCACTGTGTTGTGCACCTTACAGGCGTCATTTCACTGCACCCGTGCCACCACCAAGTGAGGGCTGTGCCATTTTCAGAGGAGGAAACGGAGGCAGAGACATCCACAGCCCAACTCTGCACGGACCCACCTGAGCAGCGAGAACGCCCTTACCACGGAGGTACTGGTCCAGGTTGATGGCTTTCTGGAAGACCAGTGTGGATTTATGACTGACGTGGCATTGGACGAAGGAGAGCACATCGTCCGCTTGCAGCAGGACGAGCACTCGGCTGGTCACATTGTGTGTGTCCCCACTGGGGTGGACGTAGGTCTGCGTCTTTGGGAGCTCGTGGTTCTTTTTAAACCAGGTCACGGTAATGTGGCGTGACGGGAATCCGGAGGACACGTAGGTCAGCTGGATGTTCTTCCCCGGCTCAGATCGCTGAAGGGGGCCTTGCAAGGAGTAGGAGTAGATGCTCCGGCCTGCAGGGAGAGACCACCCCTCCCATGAGAGGCACGGAGGTGCCCAGAGACCACGGCTCCATGAGAAGCCGACATCGGAGGCCCGGCAGTGACTAGACAGGGAGCACAGCAGTGTGTATGGGGCCGACTCCCACCCACACCCCCCGGCCAACACCCGCATCGCTGGACTCATCTCCATTTCACAGATGAGGAAACTGAGGCCCAGACAGGCTAGGTAACTTGCCCACGGTGCCCAGCCAGTCAGTGGCAGAGCCGGGCTTCTTAGCCAGACAGTCTGGCCCCAGGGTCTTCGCGGTCTCAGCTCAGGCGTGTCCTCTATCCCCGACAAGGGAATATCACGTCCATGCGCAAAAAGAAGACCTTAAGAGCACAAGTGTTGGGGGTCACACTGGGCTGGGCACCCCGGCGACTGCAAACAGTCCGGATGCCAAGCAAAGGTCAAGGAAAGGAATCCCCAGCAGGCCAGGCGAGCCCCACAGGTGTCAGGACACAGATGAGGAACTGAGCAGGCGGTGCTTTGCCTGAGGGCTCAGATGGTTGGTGGCAGCCTTGTGATGGGACACCGATCTGCTCAGCTCCAGAGTCTGGCCACCTCTAAACACGAGATCCAGAGTCCGCTTCCAAGGAGCGAAGGTCCCGTAGGCAAGCAGACGGAGCCCCGCAGCAGGAGGCCCTGCGGGAAAGTGCCACTGTGATGACTGAACCATGTGCACAGTCAGGGACAAGCACAAATCAAAAACAGAGCACGTAAGCCTGAGTTTGAGAAGAGACCTGAGGTAACACTGAGGTCTATCTTCTCCGGCAGGATGGGGGAGAAAAATACAAAAGAGCACAGTGATTTTGCAGACAGACCACCCTGCCTTTTGACCCCAGCTCAGACCTCTCAGACCTCGGCCCCTCCGCTGCCTGTCCTGTCCTATGTCAGCCAAGCTACGCGAGCACGACTGGGACACGGTAAGTGCCCTACAAGCATCAGCCAGACGCGAACGGAAGGCCGAGGTGGGGATACCGAAGAAGGGCTCTGTGGGCCAGACCGGGGAGGTGCTGCTGTGCAGGGGCACTCGCACCGAACGGAAGGGGCCCCGGACGCCAGAAAAGGAAGAAAGATAAGACAGAGAGAGGAAAAAACTCGGAGTGAGTAAAGAAGTGATTCAGAATGAAATAATGATACTTGCTTTTCCGAGGACAAAAGACCAGTTTGGAGTTTTCTATCCAGATCTGTGTATCCCACGGGGGGTGGGGGGTGGGGGGGACACTTCTCTTATTTCTGCTGGACGTGGACAAAAAAAGAACCTGGAGAAACTGAATGGTGAGTAGGATCATTCCCCAAGAATTCTTACAGCAGGCAGATCTAGGCCGGATCTATCCGGGAGAGATAGGATGCAGGGTCGAAGCCCTTGCTGGGAAGACGGGCTGTTTTGCCAGCCCGGCCTCCACCCACCCTTTGCTGGGAGCGGCAGGGGCCCTGAGACATGTGCACAGACGCAGCCGTTCACACCTGCGCACGCCTCCTGTAGGGAGCTGTCCTCCCCCACTTAGGGCGGTTCTGGAGAGCTGTCAGTCCGCACTGGGGCTCCCCTAGGCCTGGCCAATCACGATACTCTCTTCTCTTCCCATCCCCACATCCCCTCTGGCCCGTCATTCATTCTCCCGAGCTGATCCAAGCTGGTCCAGGAGAAGCAGCTTGCGCGGCTGGTGTGGGTCTGAACTGAGAGCAGGCAGCTCCCCCTAGTGGACACAGTCACGCGCGGCCACAAAGGGCGAGAGAGGGGAGCTTGGAGAGGATTAGGATGGGCGGAGGGAGGCGAGGAGGAGAGAGAAAGGCAGAGAGAGAGAGAGAGATTGAGAGAGAACTGAATAGGACAGAGGAGAATCTTGCTCCGGCACCCACTCTGTTTCCCAGCTAAGGGAGTTGAGAATTCTGGCCTCTTCGAAATTGACTCTCAGAAACTTCCAGCTGAACCAGTCTTGGTTAAAAACCTTTGGTGCCCAGCAGTCCCTAATCTCTGCCATTTCCTGCAGTCAAGTGTGAAGGCAGCAAACTTCCTACCAGAAGAGTGCATGGGACTGGGGAAGGGAAGTCCTGCTCCTTGTTGGTGAGGGTGGGGGGGAAGGAGGGAGGGAGGGAACTTAGGGGTGAATGGCTCCGAGTTTTATCGCCAGCCCAGGGAACCCTCCCTTCCGTCACCTTCATCCAGTGCCACCCCGAGCCCGTGACCTACTACAGCCTGCACCCCAGGCCCATGCTTGGTGTTTTCATGCCTGACTCTCCCAGCCATGCCGCCCAGAGGGGCCAGCAAGAGACCGCACCCACCTTTCCCCAGCCTGGGTGCCTGGGCCCGCAGGGTGATGTTGGCCCGGACGGGCGGCTGCTCAGCCTGGACCACCCAGCAAGCAAACTCGCTCCCGTCCAGCGTGGCCTCCGCCTGCCACGTGTGCTTCAGAGAGTAGGTGCCATCTGGGTTTCTCGTGACCTGTGGGGACTCCACCGTGTGGACCTGGTGTCTGTTCTCCATCCAGGTGAGACGTAGGTGGGAGGGGTAGAAGTGGCTCGCGTGGCAGGTGAGATTCACTCTCTGTTGCACGTGGATGTACGTCCCGGAGGTCTTGGTGGTGATCTTCAGGGTGGGGACAACTAGACAACCAGAAAGAAACATCTGTTGAGATTACCCCTGCCCCGCTGGCCTCTTTCCTTCTCCCAAAAACCAGACACGAGACCTGTCACTCTCTCATCCGTGACCTTTCTTGTATGCTTAATGTAAGGCAAATAAAGTGAAGTGTTAACATTCATTAAATACGAGTAGGGGAGCCTAGGTGTCTCGTGTGTTATTTTTTGTATGTTTGAACTATTCAGTACCATGAAATACAATTTTAAGAATCACTGGGGCACCTGGGTGGCTCAGTCGGTGAAGCGTCCGGCTCTTGATTTCAGCTCAGGTCATGATCTCACTAGTTCGAGCCCTGCATCGGGCTCTGTGCTGACAGTGCAGAGCCTGCTTGGGATTCTCTCTGCCCACCCCCTGCTTTGACTCTCTCTCTCAAATTAAATAAACAAACAGTTAACAAATCAAATCAAGTGCATAAAAAGAATTACTGGGGCACCTGGGTGGCTCAGCTGGTTAAGCGTCCAACTTCAGCTCAGGTCATGATCTCACGGTTCGTGGGTTCGAGCCCCGCGTCGGGCTCTGTGCTGGCAGCTCAGAGCCTGGAGCCTGCTTCTTCCTCTCTGCCCCTCCCTTGTTCGTATTCTCTCTCTCTCTCAGAAACAAACATTAACATTTTAAAAAATATATTAAAAAAAAGAATTGCTAAAATATGATGCCCACAAGGACAAGGATTTAATTGTACTTGTTGCTATATCTTCAGCACCCAGAACAGTGCCTGGCACGCAGTCGATACTCCTTATTTGTTGAATGAATAAGACATTTAAAAAATTTTCTTTAAATTTACATTTATTTATTTTTGAGAGACAGAGAGAGAGGGCACAAGGGGGGGAGAGGCAGAGAGAATGAGACACAGAATCCGAAGCAGGCTCCAGGCTCCAAGCTGTCAGCACAGAGCCTGATGCGGGGCTCGAACCCACGAACCGCGAGATCATGACCTGAGCCAAAGTCAGACGCTTAACCGACTGAGCCACCTAGGTGCTCCAGGACATTTTTTAAATTTAAAAATAATAACAATGATATTAATAGACCAATGATAGTAGCAGTGATATTAATCGCAATGATATTAATAGATATTAATAGAGGTGTTTGGGATGGAAAGTTGAGACAAGATCATGAGATAATAGTAAGATGATGATGATGGTGATAAATGGAAAGTTGGGACCAAACATTCATCAACAACTTCCTGTGTGCCAGGCACTGTTCTAGGTACTTCATAAGGAATGACTCATGTAATCCTCACATGAAACCTACAAGGGCTTATTTTTATTCCCACTCTAGGAGGGGACTGAGGCCCAAAGAAGTTAGGGGACTTACCCAAGATCACACACGTCGTAAAATGGTACAGCCAGGATTAAACCCAGACGGCCGCCCCCGGTCTCCCGGGGGGTGGGGGGGGGGGGGAGAATGGGACTTTGGGCAGAAGACACTGAAAGCCGATGCTGCTGGGAGATGACACCCCTCCCCCCACACTTCCTGCCCGCCCACCTTGGAGCACTTGGGAGAGGTTCATGGTCTTTCGCAGAGGCTCTCCCAGCGCCCTGTGGGTGACTTCGCAGGTGATCTCCAGTAAGAGATCCTGGAGGGTCAGTGTCACCCACACCTTACTGGTAACGAAGTAGTTGCCTTGGTTGTTGGTCACCAGGTGCTGGGCTGAGGCTGGATGCTCATCGCTGCCCTTCATCCAGGTGACACTGAAATCCCAGGAGCTGAAGGGGCCGGCCGTACAGTTGAAAGGCACTGGGTTTCCCGGGGTCGTCCTCTGAGATGGGCCCGTCAGAGAGATGAAGGGCCGCCCGGCTGTGAAAGAGAGCTTGTGACCATACAAGGCGCATCCGACACTCTACGGCCTGTAAGGGCTGCCGGTGGCACGTGAGGTCTTGGGGACTGACTGTGTGCTGTGTCTTGTTCCGGCCTTGGGGAGCATAGGACGGATGATGACAAGGAAACAGACAAACATAGCATTCTAACTGGGGCTCAACCTCAGGGAAACAGAGTGCTGAGGTTAAAAAAAAAAAAAAATGCCAGAAGGCTTATTCTAGAAGAAAATAGTGGTCTATGGCCATACCACCCTGAACGCGCCTGATCTCGTCTAGAAGAAGATGAGACAAGGCTTCCTGGAGGAGGTGACATTTTGAGCTGAAGCTGAGAGATGGATAGGAGCCAGCCATGAGAAGGGGCATGGGAAGAACATTCTAGAAAGTGGGAATGGCAGGTGAGAATACCTTGAGAGGCTGAGAGATCTGTAGGACTCCAGCATCATGGGCAAAGAGGTCCAGATGGGGAAAGGCCTGTGGTTCAAGGTAAATGCTGCTGACTCTATTCTGAGTGCGACCGGAAGCCATTGGAGACCGTGAACACAGGACCAGGTGGCCTCGCCGACGTGGTTTAAAAGGATACTGTGGTCGCCGTGTGGAGGATGGAAAGCAGGTGGCAGGACGGGAGCAGCGACAGCAGTGAGGAGGGGACCCAGGACTGCCTGGGCCAGGCCGGTGAGTGATGGGGGGGACCTGAGACCCATTCGGCAGAAACAGCCAGCAGGACTCGGTCACAGACCGGACACAGTGGGCTATGGGGAAATGTGTCCCAGGCTTTTCTGTCGGGCATCTGGGCGGATGGTTCTAGGTTTGGGGAGAGGTGTGGCGAGGACACCTCTCCCTTTTGGACACCAGTGTGACATCGAGAGCCACTGCGGGCAGGGATGGCTGACCCTCCTAATCCGGTCCTTCCCGTCCACATCTCTGCTTGCTCAGCTCCGGGGACGCGGCACTCTCTCCACCTGAGGCAGCATCCCCCTTCCTCTTCTAGCCTCCAGTCTGTGCCCTAGAGTCATCCCAGGGCACCTGCAGGACCGGGCTCCCCTCCCCCTCATGACAGCCTGCAGGGGCGTGACAGCGGTGACTTCTGCAAGTCTTCACTGCACCCAGCCTCCCCCCCACGCCCCTGCGCTGAGCTGGTCTGTGAGCTGGGTCCTGGGGACACAGAGAGGTGTCAGACAGGACCCTGGCACTGGAGGAGCATCTGGTCAGGTGTGTGGGTGTGGGGAGGACAGATAAACCAGCACTGACAATGCAGGGTTCTGGGTGACAGAGGGCAGCTCGGGCGGCTGTGGAGCATATCCTCTCAGCACCCAGCTCCGGAACCTTCTGCGTCATGCTCTCCTCTCCAGTAGTCCCTCCTGATCATCGTCACCTCACTGCACGGGGCACCCTGTGGCTCATAGAACGTTTCCAGGTGTGTGTTTATTCTCATCCACATCCCACTGCGGGAGGCTGGTATTGTTGTCCCCGCTTTCCAGAAGAGGAGACAGCCACAGAGAGGTTTAGTGACTTGTACGAGGTCACACAGCCTGCGGGGGTGGGGGGGGCAAGCTAAGGAGGGAGGTTAAGCAGTCTGACTGAGAACCCTGCAATCTTCCTGCAAGGCCAGAGGCGCCATCACTCGGCGGGGGGGGGGGGGGGGGGCCCCCCTTTCTGTCTCTCCCCCCCCCACACCCTCTCTGACCTAGATGTGTTAGCCACTCGGACCAGAGCTGACATCAGGGAGACCGGGTGGGAGGTGGGCTCCCCCTTCACCCCCTTCCTTCCCCCAGTCTGTTGTCCTTGTGGCCTCCTGGCCCCAAACCCCATCACCTTTGTTTCTCACAGGTGAGGACAGGACACGCCCTGGCAGGTAGGCAAAGGGCCCCGCTAGGTCCTGTGGGCCCCAGACCCCTGCAACCCAAGGCAGCTGCATGTAGTAATCCCCGAGGGCCTCCCTGCCAGGTCTGAGGGTGTCTCGGGGCACCACCCAGGACTTACCTGTGAGTCCCAGCAGGAGGGCAAGCAGGACGGAGGTCAGGACCTGCCCACACTTAGCAGCCATGGTGAGGAGGCTCCGGGTCCCTGGTTGTGCTGTGCACCAACCCCGGATGAGGCTCTGCATGAGCCCAGGAGCCACTGCCTGGTCTCCCGACAGCCGAAGGCAGGCCACACGCTTCCTGGACACTCTCCCACCCTGGGCCTGAAGCAGTGGCTTGAGCCACAGGGACAGAAGTGGTCACTGTGACCCAGGCCTCCTTCCAAACCCCAAACCCTCAGGCCTGGGGTGTGTGGCTGGGGAGGCGTCTGTTGCCTCTGGCTTGGGTGCTGACTGTCCCCAAGGCCCCACGAAGGGGACCCAGAAGGGGCTGGGCTCCCCCCACCCTCACCCCGAGCTGGGAGCCACACAGCTCCCTGTGATGTGGTGAGAGCCTCCTCCGTGCTAAGCAGATGTGACTGACAGCCTGCTGTGGCCAGCCCATGGTGGCTCCTGGGTCTACAGAACGGGTTGGCTGGTAAAGCGAGCTGGGACATCCATGACCGAATAAAACCAAGTAAGTGCACAGACTTGGAAACCCAGCTCCCCCCTCCCTCCCCCCCACCCCGGGGCTGGCACAGCGTGGCTGGGCTTCTCTTGCCCAGAATCCTCTAGGAGCCCCCGGGGTTGGGGGGGGGGGGGAGCTGAATGCTACCAATGCCCTGACCTCTCCCCTGGGTCACTCCCCATCCCCTTACGCTGCTAGATTTGGCTTCTCAGTGCTAGCCCTGACATGTTTACTTACTTATTCCTGATCCCTTTCCCCCATTAATAACGATTGGCCGTGGGGTGCCTGGGTGGCTCAGTCGGTTAGGCGACCGACTTCGGCTCAGGTCATGATCTCCTGGCTGGTGAGTTCGAGCCCCACGTTGGGCTCTGTGCTGACCGCTCGGAGACTGGAGCCCATTTCGGATTCTGTGTTTCCCCTTCTCTCTCTCTGCCCCTCCCCTACTCACACTGTCTCTCTCCCTCCTTCAAAAAATTAATAAAATGATGATTGGCCGTGACGACTGCTGTCTTTCATTCATTACTGTGACCAGCACCTCACGCTGTCCTGGGCACATAGTAAGTACTCAACAGTAACAAACGGGACCAGGTATGTTCTCAGGGCTAATGAACAGCCGAAAAGTCTGGCTGCGCCCCAGCCCTCCCACCTCCCCCATGCTCTGTTCACCCAGCTAACTGTGGGAGGGGAGATGTCAGCCTGGGGGGCCAGATTTGGAATCTGTCCCCTCACTGCCTCCACCGAGCAAGGCGCTCCCCAAAAACAACTCCTCGGGACTGGGGTGCCTGCGGGAAGAGGAAGCGGGTTTTCTCCCTCCAGATGTCTCCTGAGGCTGGCCACGCTGGCAAGAGAAAAAGGAACTGAAACCAGACAGGAGGGTGGAGGTGCGGCCTGAACTTCCCCCATGGGGAGTGGCGGCGGGGGGTGGGGGGTGGGGGTGGGGGGGGCGGAGCCTAGTCCTCGCCCCCCGCCCCCACCAGGGCCCCCACCAGGGAGGACAATGGCCAAGCTTAGAGCATGAGGTTAGCAGCCTACTCAAGAAGGCCCCAGAAGCTGCGGGATGGAGTCTGGGGACGCGGGCTGCAGAGCAGGAGCAGACCATGCAGAGGGGGCTGTGCTGTGGGTCCCCCGCCACCATGCACACGTGCACGCTCGCCCACGCATGCACGCACACGAGGTCCACGCCTGGGACCCGATTCAGCGGGCGGGAGGAGAAACCAAGGAGCCCCTTTGCCTCCGCGCCTTCCAGATCCCGAAGCAGAGACGGGGGGGTGGAGGTGGGGGGGTGCCGGGCCGTAGTGAGGGAAGGTGTGATGTCCCTACACTGGACGTAGTGTTGGCATCTGGAAACGGTCTGGTTGGGCTGGGCTATAAAATAGGGCCTGCCTGGCACAGTAGAGCTTTTTCATAAAAGTTTGATGAAACAGTTCGTCCATGATCATCCATTCGTTCAACTATGGCAGAGCATCTTTCAACACGTGTCCAGAAATGTGGGCGCTGCCTAAGAGACAGAGGGGCCGGCAGAAGAAATATGATAGAGCCAAGCTGGAAGCAGGGAAGAGATAAATCAAACCGGTTCAGGCTGGCGCCCCTGAAACGTTCAGGCTGTTCAATGAGGGGGTTGCACCAACCACAGGACCTTGGTCAAACCCGAGCCTCGGTTTCCTCATCTGTAGCAAGAGGCCAGTGATATCTGCCTGTGAGTGAGTCTTATGCATGTAACATCTGAAGTCCTGAGCATAAAACAAAAGCTAAGTAAACGTGAGTTTCCATCCTGAGAAACGCGACCCCATCCTGATAGCTCTGATGAGTCTTCTACCTATTAACCCCTCCTACTCACCTTTCTTCTCTGAGCTCAGCTGTCTCCATGGAAATACAGCAGGAGCCACAGGGAGTTTTAGATTTCTAGTACCCACGTTGAAAAAGTAAAAAGAAACATGAAATTAATTTTAGCTAACACATTTTAACCCAACATCTGAAATAGTATCATTAACACATGTAAACACTAGAAAAATACTACGATATTTTACATGATTTTTTCCTCTAGCCTTTGAAAGTTTCAACAAAGTGAAACGTAGCCCTATTAAGGCAATAAAGCTGTGTTAATATAATAGACATATTTTTACACTGCTTCAGTTTTTAAATTTAAATTTAAATTAATTAAAATGAAATACAATCAGGGGCGCCTGGGTGGCTCAGTTGGTTAAGCGTCAGACTTCAGCTCAAGTCATGGTCTCACCATTTGTGGGTTTGAGCCCCGCATCGGGCTCTGTGCTGACAGCTCAGAGCCTGGAGCCTGCTTTGCATTCTGTGTCTCATTCTCTCTCTGCCCTTCCCCCACTTGGGCTCTGTCTCTCTCATCTCTCAAAAATAAATAAAAATGTAAAAAAAATTTTTTTTAATATTTAAAGAAATACAACTAGAAACTCAGTTTCTCCACCAACCGCATTTTTCACAGAACTAGAACAAATACTAAAATTTGTATGGAACCACCAACGACCCCAAATAGCCAAAACAGTCTTGAGGTATCACAATCCCAGACTTTAAGATACACTACAAAGCTCTAGGAATCAAAACAGTATGGTACTGGCACAAAAACAGACACATTGATCAATGGAAGAGGACAGAAAGCCCAGAAATAAATCCACGCTTATATGGTCAATTAATCTACAACAAAAGAGGCAAGACTATGCGAGGGGAAAAAGACGGTCTCTTCAACAAGTGGTGTTGGGAAAACTGGACGTCTACGGGCACAAGAATGAAACTGGACCACTTTCTTACACCATACACAAAAATAAACTCAAATGGATTAAACACCTAAATGTGAGACCTGAAATCATGAAACTCCTTAAAGAAAACATAGGCAGTAATCTCTCGGACATCAGCCTTAGCAACATTTTTCCAGATCTGTCTCCTGAGGCAAGGGAAACAGAAGCAGAAGTAAACTCTTGGGGCTACATCAAAATAAAAAGCTTTTGCGCAGAAAAGGAAACCACCAACAAAATGACAAGACAACCTACTGAATGGGAGAAGATATTTGCAAATGATATATCCGATAGGGGGTTAACATCCCAAACATATCAAGAACTTCTACAACTCAATATGAATCCCTCCCCCCGCCCCCCATTAAACGCTCTGATTTTAAAATGTTTGGAGGGGCGCCTGGGTGGCGCAGTCGGTTAGGCGCCCGACTTCAGCCAGGTCACAATCTTGCGGTCCGGGAGTTCGAGCCCCGCGTCAGGCTCTGGGCTGATGGCTCAGAGCCTGGAGCCTGTTTCCGATTCTGTGTCTCCCTCTCTCTCTGCCCCTCCCCCGTTCATGCTCTGTCTCTCTCTCTGTCCCAAAAATAAATAAACTTTGAAAAAAAATTTTTTTAAATAAATAAATAAATAAATAAATAAATAAAATGTTTGGAAACATTTTTTTTCCAAAGAAAACATCCAGATGGCCAACAGACACATTGAAAAGATGCTCAAATCACTCATCATCAGAGAGAAGTGAATCAAAATAAAATGAGGTATCACCTCACACCTGTCAGAATAGCTAGCTAGTATCGACAGGACAAGACTAGTATCAACAGGACAAGACATAACAAGTGTTTGTGAGGATATGGAAGAATAAGAACCCTTGTGTGCCGTTGGTGGGGATGCAAACTGGTGCAGCCACTGTGGAAAACACTGCGGGAGTTCCTCAAAAGATTAAAAATAGAACTATCACATCATCCAGTGATTCTACCATTGGGCATTTACCCAAAGGAAATGAAAACACTAATTTGAAAAGATAACTGCACCCTTATATTTATTGCCTTATTTACAATAGCCAAGATATGGAAATAACCCAAGTATCCATCCACAGATGAAGAGACCAAGATTATGTAATGTATATACACAATGGAATGTTACTCAGCTGTAAAACAGCATGAGATCTGGCCATTTGCAACAACATGGACGGGCCTAGAGAGTATGGCGTTAAGTGAAATAATCCGACAGAGGAAGACAAATACGATATGATTTCACTCGTATGTGGACTTGAAGAAAGAAAACACATGAACAAGTTAAGGGAAAAAAGACAAACCAACCAACCCCAGACTCTTGAACACAAAGAACAAAATGGTGGTTGCCGGAGGGGAGGTGGGTGAAATCCGATGGGTGAAATCGTTAAAGAGGATAAGAGGATACTTATCATGATGAGCACTGAGTAACGTGTGGAATTGTCGAATCATTACATTGCACACTTGAAACTAATATAACGTTATGTTTGCTTCAAGATATATATATACATTTAATTTCATTTCCTTTGTGGCACTGGCCACATTTCAAGTACTCAGTAGCCCCATGCAGCTACCGGCTGCCATTGTGGGCAGTGTCGCGTTGGGTGAAACATTCCTTCCTCGGGAAAGCCGTCCCTACACTGACGCCCACCCCCACCCCCGACCACCACATAGGTTCAGGTACGTGTTTCGCATAGCATTTATCACAGCTGTGATTCGTTTTTATTTTTAAATTTTCTTTTTCAACGTTTTTTTTTATTTTTATTTTTGGGACAGACAGACAGAGCATGAACGGGGGAGGGGCAGAGAGAGAGGGAGACACAGAATCGGAAACAGGCTCCAGGCTCTGAGCCGCCAGCCCAGAGCCCGACGCGGGGCTCGAACTCCCGGACCGCGAGATCGTGACCTGGCTGAAGTCGGACGCCCAACCGACTGAGCCACCCAGGCGCCCCTGTGATTCGTTTTTAAATTTGCAACTAGCCGCACAATTCCCCTTTTTAGACTGTAAGCTCTGTGAAGGCAGCGGCCATGTTTTTGGTCACCACTGTGAACACGTGCTGGGAGCTTAGTAAGTGCTCAGTGAATGTTTGTTGGTTGGATGGATGGACGTTTGGATAAACAAACAAACAAACAAACAAGAGGATGTGCACTCTGGGCGTAAGGAAAAGGAGGAGGCATTACTAATGAGAAAGCACAGAAGGCTTCCCGGAGGAAGTGATTTTGTCTTCAAGGGCCCTGCTCTGCCCTTAGGCTTCAATCATGCCATCTACAAGAAAGGGAGGGACTGGCAACACCAGGCTGGGGCTGTAGGGGGTGGGTAGCCATGGGCAGGGTGTCATGTGAAGCTGGAAGACTTGAGGAGAAGTGGGAGATTGGAATCCTTTCGGGGGTCGTCTGAGGAGTGCCAAGGTACCCACAAGGCTCACCCAGGCTGGGCCTCATGCCCACCGGGCGAGGCTGGGTTTCCTGAGTGGAGCCACGCCGGTCTTCTTCCTGATTCCAGCGGCAGCAGGAAGCGGGTCTCAAACAATGTGCAAGCACGTCTTATGGGTGGAGGGCCCCAAGGGAGCTCATCATACGGGCGGACCCCAGCCCCGGCCTAATGGGCTGAGGAACCGGGAGACAGAGCCTTCGTAGTTCCTCAGAAAAGGGACGATGGTCCCCCAAATCCACCCCCTAACTGCGAGGACCCATTCCCATTCCCCTTCACCTCATCTTCTTAGACACGGCTTAGGCTCGGCGTCGCCAAGCCACCCCTGTCGCCCTACTGCTCCTCCAAAGATCTGTGTTGCCCCAAGACGGTGAGCCAACTCCTTGAGGGCAGGCACCATTGTCCGCTTGCTTCACATCTCAGTCCTCTGTGCCCGGCACAACACCTGGCCCAGAATAACCTGCGAATACGCTTGCTAAATGAATTCATTTCATTATGAGTCTGTTCATCCCTTCAACAGCTCTTCGTAGGGCGCCAGTGACGTGCTGGGGGCCAGCAAGGCACCATGCAAGCGAGCAGGGTGCAAGACAGGTCTCCACCCTCCGGCAAGCCGTGTTCTACAGGGGATCCTGAAAATAAAGGAACAAATAGGGACCATCAGTTCAGGGGGGGGGGTTAACTGGTATGAAGGACCGCGCGGGGAAAACCTCCTGGGGGCTGAGACCTGAATGAAGGGAAGCCGGGGGGCCATCGTGGGGAAGAATGCTCTAGAGAAGGAATCGGCATGCAGGGTGGGCTTGAGCTGGGTGCAGCTGGACCATAGCAAGGTCACCGTGTGGGAGCAGAGGGCAGGGGCCAGACGGTCATGGCAGAAGCCACGGGGCCTGATCTTGTGGGCTGTGGCAAGGAGGGAGATCGCAATCTGTATGCGTCGATAGGCTGAGGGCAGAGGTGCCACAGGACCTGATCTGTAAGTTAAAAACTCACACTCAGGTGGCTCAGGGAGTGGGGCGGGAGGAGGGTCAGAGAGGAAGCGTAGGGGGTGGTAGGAGAGGAAGCAAGAGGCTACTGCAGCGGTGGAGTCTGGAGCTTGGGGAAAAGACGGCGGAGAGGGGAGAGAGACATTTGCAAGGTGCCGTCAGCATGTGACGGGTTTCGGTACAGCACGGGGCAGGGGCGACTGGAAATGGGGAGGAGCGGCAGGGGTGGGGGGAGAGGGAAGGATCCCAGGGCTGGGCTTGTGATTCAGCTCTGGAACCAATTTGTAGGATGACCTCGGGCCATCTCTCTGGGCCTCAGATTCTGTAACTGGATATGGAGGGGTTCGGGCCAGGTGACCTCAAAGGTCCCCCTTGCCTGAACTTTCATGAGCCGGGTTCATTTCCTGCAGTCTGGGGTCCCAGCCCCACCCAGGGCTCCCTCACACAACGTCTGCTGAGCCTGCTTCCCCAGACAAAGGGCAGGGTGGGCATCACGGGTACGAGATCCCTGCAGCTGGGCCGGGCCCACACTGGCTTGAAACGCGTCGTTTTTGAACACTTTTGAACAAGGGGCTCTGCATTTTCAGCCCGCACCGGGCCCTGTTCGGTGTGTGGCCTGAGCCGCCACAGGCCCTTGGCCTCCTCGCTGAGAGGAGGTGAGCTTCCCCAGAGGTTGCAGGCATCCCGCAGCGGGGTGGCGACAGGGAGGAGAGGAGGCCGCTCAGGACCGGCGACCCTGGCTGGGCCCCTCTGTGGGGCCTGAGTCCCTGCCGTCGCCGGCCCCTCTCCACCCCTCCAGACTCTCTGATATCCCCCACAGTGCCAACAGCTTCCCTGTTCCGGGACCAAAGACTTTGACCACTTGGATGGATGGACTCCAGTGACCCCACTCCCGTAAAGCAAAAGAAAATAAAAGCAAGTAACAGGAGATGACAGGTGAAGATCAAGGCCCGAAGAGTGGCTTTGATGATGGACTCGCGGGCTCCGTGCACTTAGGGAGGGGGGCACGTGCGTGGGAGCAGGAGGAAGAAAGTGAAGCCCGGGGAGGAGCGATCGCCTTCATAGAGACCCGCAGCCCCACAGGAGCCAACGGGGAAGTTCCAGGGAGGTGAATTTCACCTTCGGAGGAAGAAGGGCTTTCTAACATCGAAGGCTGCTGTCCAATAGTGAAACCTCTTACCTTCTGAGGGGGGACTTCCCTTCACCAGGGGCGCTGGATGCATGTCACGGATGCTGGAGGGAGGTTCTGGCAGAGCCGTGGGACGAGGGAAGGGTTTTTCAAACCATGGGCCACGATGCGACCTTGGGACATGAAATCAGTTGAATGGACCCAAAGCAGTAGTTTTTATTTTTTGGTTTTTTTTTTTTTTTTTTTTTTTTTAATGGAAAAGATAGGAGACGAGGGGCGCCTGGGTGGCTCAGCCGGGTAAGCGTCCCACTTTTGGTGTCAGCTCAGATCATGATCTCACGGTTTGTGAGTTCGAGCCCCCCTTCGGGCTCTGTGCTGACAGCTCGGAGCCTGGAGCCTGCTTCGGATTCTGTGTCTCCCTCTCTCTCTGCCCCTACCTGGTTCTCTCTCTCTCTCTCTCTCTCAAAAATAAATAGACATTAAAAATGTTTTTAATCAAATAAAAGAATGGAAAAGATAGGAGACGATGTAAGAGAAGACAAGAGGAAATGTCTGGGTTTATCCCACATAGTTAGGAAAAACGCCGTTTCATGAAACTTTCTGTGCGTGTGTATGTGTGTCTAGGCGTGTGTGTGTGTGTTCACACTGGACAGCGACATAAAGTGCATTACTAACGGTGGATGCTAGTCAGAAAGATAAACAGCCTCAGAAAGTTCTTCTCCAAGAACCTCCCGTCTTTGCGGTCATGTGAGGCAAGGGTCTTCGATTTTATGTGTGGAATTATGAGACTAGAATTCTGAGACTCGTTTATTTCTTTTTCATTCATTTACTTCACATTTATTTAACAGCTCTTGTAACCGCGCTGGGTGCCGGAGGCACAGAGATAGATCAGAATCAGTCCCTGCCCTCAAGTCAAGTGAGGGAGACAGACATTTAAGCAGATCATTATATACAGCGTCGTATATAATGACACTGCGCTTCAGTAAGCATTTGGCCAAGGCGTGTGCATATTTCATCCAGACCCATGAGGGGGGTGCTTTTCTCAGCACCTGTTCTGCAGGTGAGAAAAAAAAAAAATCAAGGCTAAGTTGGTCACACAAAGGATTAATCAAGGACACTCAGCAGAGCCCTGACTTTCCCCCAAGACCACCAGCGGGTACAGGTCAGGGGTATGGGGGCTGGAGGAGGAAGGGTCAGATTGGGGCGGCTGGGGTGGTGAGGGAGAGCCCAAGAAAGCATCACAGCAAAAGGGACCCTTGAACTACGTCTCGAAGGAAGAGTGGGAGTCTGATGGCTTGGCAAGGTGGCAAAGGCTTTCCTTCCCTCAAGAGACAGCCAGGAGCCATGCTGAGAATAGGAAAGGGTAGGATTTGAGAGGAAACAGACCCGGTTTGAACTTTAGTTCCAGCTTTTCCTAGCTGTGTGACCCTGGGCAAGCCACTTAAACTCTCTGGTTCTCCATTCTTTTCATGGAAGGTTATCGTGAGAGTAGAGATCCCGTATGTATGTAACACATCTAGCATTAGCACAATAGCAGAAGCTTCATGCTGATTATAATCCATTGGCGCACTTCCTCTGAGTTCAAATCCCAGCCTTGGCACTTACCATCTGGGTGACCTGGGGTAAGGTGCTCACCTCTCTGTGCCTCATCTTTAAAAGGGGAATAATGAGAGTACCTGCCACGTAAGGCTATGAAAATAGAATAAATCCCTATATGTGAAGGTTCGAGGTGCACGGTAGAGACTGGCCACTGACAATACTTGCCTGCGCTATGGGCTGTGGTAAGAGCTTTATAATTGTATTCATTCATTAGAATAACAAATGACTGTCGAGGGATCGCCAAGTTGCAGGCAACGTTCCAGGTGCATCAGAGAATCTCACTTAGTTCAGAAGCACAAGCTGGACCCGAGTGTGACATTGAGTTCGTCTTGTGGGGGGAGTGGCAGCGGGGACAGGATTTGGGTGGTGAGAGAGGAGGCTGCAGGGATGGGGCGGGCCATACTGAAAAACATTTTATGTCACATTTACGATCATTTCACGAGCACCCTGTAAGCAGTGGAGAGCCCACGGTGATTTTCAATCTGGGGAATTTTTATTCTTGGAGTTTATGATTCCCCAGTTGCAAAACTCTATGTGCCAATGTCTTTATGATCCCAACATTATAGCCCTATGATTTTGTGACCCTTCATAATTTCATACTTGCATTGGTAGGTTGATATAAAAAATGGCCACAACAGGGGCTTCTGGTGTCAAGTCTGACACGTAAAGTGCTAAAAAGCCATTGCTTCTGTCTTAACCATAAGCAAAAGCTAGGTGAGCTGAAAAACAATGACTACTCTTGAATCCACCCGAGAACTGAAGTTGCGAGGCACACTGGGACCACAGAATCTGAGCAGTCAGGCACATCCAGAAAGATACGGCACCCAAGACCGGCTTCCAACTGCTGAAGGCGATTTGGGCACCAGCATAAGAGACAGAAGTCCCCGGGGACCCTGGTCACGGGCGGTGGGGAAGACCTCTTACTTTTGCAGCTTTTTCCTCCAGGAACCTCACCAGGTTCCAATGGGGGAGGGTCTGAGAGAGCTCCCCATGTGGCTCTGGCGGGGAGAGGCAAAGAGAGGCCGTGGTAAAGTCCTCCCGGGACCTTCCCCCTCAGCTCTGGTGGATAGGACTTTGCCAGAAGGCAGTTCAGAGACTTTATCACAGCTAAGGCAAAAGGAACTCTGTGCCTCCTCAGTCCTCTCCAGACTTCCTGTTTCACTCAAGGTGGTGGTGGTGGGGGGGGGATACCCTAGACAACAGAGTGAATAGGCTGGGCTGTTTTAGCCAGAGAAGACACCAGAAGCAGGGGGAGGGGAGCGCTACCTCGGGAGGAGGAATAGAAACACTCCCAAAAGGCCATGCTCCTGAGATAAGAGGAACCCACTAAAAGCCTGAAACTTCATTAGAAGGTCAGGGATGCCCCCACCCCCCAGCTTTACCATCACACCTGTAAGGCTCCAGAATCATAATAGTGCATGACGGCTGAAATTACGGCAAACCACAGGGAAGCTCCAGAAATGAAAAAGAAAGAGAGAACAAGGACACAGAGGAACTTGAAACCTATACTTGTGCCTAGAGCTACAAGTATTGAGTGCAGCTCAGCTCCTAGAAAGATTAGCGCCAGTCCTCAGTATTTATCATCGTATACAACGTGTCCAGCTTTCAACAAAAATTTACAAGGCAGGCTTGCGTGAGTTTCCCGAGGCTGCCGTAACGAATTACCACGAACCCAGTGGCTTAAGGCAACAGAACTTGGGGCACCTGGGTGGATCAGGCTGATGAGCGCCGGCCGACTCTTGGTTTAGGCTCGGGTCACACGGGATCCCAGGGTCGTGCGATCAAGCCCCGGGTCAGGCTCTGCGCTGAGTGTGCTGCCTGTTTAAGATTCTCTGTCTCTCTCCCTCTGCCCCCCCTCCCCCATTCGTGCCGGATCTCTCTCCCTCATAAGTAAATAAGTAAATAACAAAAACAGAAATGTTATTTCCTTACTGTCCTGGAGGCCAGAAATCCATAATCAGTGTCACTGGGCTAAAATGGCACCTGGACTGCCACCGTCTGAGGGCTCTAGAGGAGAAGCGCTTCCTTGCATCTGGCGGCGGAGGCCATTCTCTGGCTTACGGTTGAGAGTCTATTTGTCTTCTCCATGGTCCCATCGCCTTCTCCTCTTCTGTGTGATTACACGATGGCTGTGATTGCACTTACCCTGGACAAGCCAGGATGATCTTCCCGTCTCCAGATCTGGATCTTCAGCGTCCCCCAGGGGAAGGAACAAAAGGCAAGGAAAAATGCAGACTTCGGAGACAAAACAGACATCAGAAGCAGACTCAGATATCACACTGATGTTGGAATGATCAGACAGGGAATTTAGAATACCTGCGACTATAATGTTAAAGATTCTAATGGAAAAACATTCTCCAGGGTTCCATAAGTTAGGCCACAGAAAAAAAAGTCTTACGACACTTTAGAAGATTGAAGTTATATGGAGAACAGATAGTCTCTTGACTGCTGCTGGAACCATATGCAGAAGAAAAAGATCCTTCGTATAGACCTTAGACTTTACATAAAAGTAACTAAAGTGAACTCAGATCACAGACCTAAAGGCAAAACACAAAACAATAAAAGTCTAGAAGAAAACAGGAGAAAATCTGCTTGACTCTGGGTTTGGTGGTGAGTTTTTGTTTTTTGTTTTTTGTTTTTAAAGATTTTTTTTTAATTTTTTTTTCAACGTTTATTTATTTTTGGGACAGAGAGAGACATAGCATGAATGGGGGAGGGGCAGAGAGAGAGGGAGACACAGAATCAGAAACAGGCTCCAGGCTCTGAGCCGTCAGCCCAGAGCCCGACGCGGGGCTCGAACTCACGGACCGCGAGATCGTGACCTAGCTGAAGTCGGACGCTTAACCGACTGCGCCACCCAGGCGCCCCTGGTGGTGAGTTTTTAGATGCAAAACCAAATATGCAATCCATGAGAGAAAAAAGTTGCTAAGTTGGACACCTGTTAAGCCTTTGCTCTGTAAAATGCACTGTTGTTTATAAATGTTTTTATTTATTTTGAGAGAGAGGGAGAGAGAGAGAGCAGGGGAGGGGAAGAGAGAGAGGGAGACAGAGGATCTGAAGTAGGCTCTGTGCTGAGAGCAGAGAGCCCTATGTGGGGCTCAAACTCATGAACGGCAAGATCATGACCTGAGCCGAAGTTGGATGCTTAACCGACTGAGCCACCCAGGTGCCCTTGTAAAATGCACTGTTAAGAGGATGAAAAGATCCCAGCCACAGGATGGGAGTAAATATTTACAAATCACGTATCAGATAAAAGATCATATCCAGAATATGCACAGAACGTCGCAAACTCACCAGGAAGGAAACAAACAACCCAATTTTAAAATGGGCAAAAGATATGAACAGACACCTCAGCAAAGAAGACACACAGGTGGCAAACAAGCCTCCAAAAAGATTCCCAGCCTCATTTATTTTCGGGGAAATGCAAATGAAAATAAAGTGCAAATGTAAACAACGACTACACGCCTATTCAAATGGACAAATCCCTCCCCCCCAAACTGGCAAAAGCAAGTGCAGATGTAGATGCGAAGCAGCGGGAACTCTTAGTCGTTGCTGCTGGGAGTGAAAAATGGCACAGTTACTTTGGAAGACAGTTTGGCAGTTTCTTACAAAGCTACTTCTCAACTCACCGTATGACTCAGAAGTTTACCCAGCTGATTAGAAATTCTACGCTCACACAAAAGCCCGCACACATATTTATAGCAGCCTTATATTCCCAACAAAGCTGGAAGCGGCTAAGAGTTCCTTTCATAAGTGAATGGATAACAGTGGTACATCCATCCATACGATAGAATACTATTCAATGATCAAAAGGAAGCCGCTGTTAAGCCGTACAACAGTACGGATGCATCTTAAGTGCGTATTTGCTAAGTGAACGAAGCCCGTCTCAAAAGCTATACACTGTTTGATTCCATTTGTATGATTAACAAAAAGCTAAAACTATAGAGAGCAAAGACAGGCCAGTGGCTGCCGCAGGTTTGAAGAGAGCTGGATAGCCGATTAGGTGAAGCACCATTCTAGAGCCGTGAAACCATCCTGCCTGGCCCTGTAGCAGTGGGCACGTGACTATCCACTTGTCAGGACTCGGAGACCTTTACGAACAAGAATCGAAGCGAATCGTAATGCAGGCAGATTTGAAGAAAGAGTTTAACTGTATCATAAACGTATGACATAGTCTCACTGAGTGATGTGGGCAATAGGTGTGCCGACCTAAACAACTTTGGGAATATCTGGAGACAACACTAGAGGCCAAGGAACCGTCCGTCCATAAGCACTGTACTCTAGTTGGTAAAGTTATTTCTCAAGGGAGCACAGGTTGAGAATTCCGAAACTCCCATGCATGTGTGCTGGAATTGCCCAATTAAATAAATTAGGACGCCAGATGGTGGGAGCAGGTGTCTCGCTGTTGAAGTGGGGGATTCTAGATAAGCAAGAGGAGAGAGATAGGATGAACGCTATGAATGGGGTTGAGTGGGAGGCATTAGCATGAAGTCATGTTTCGCTTAATATAGATGCTAATGAACAGATATAGAAATACAGTTATGTGTATATACGTGTGTGTGTGTGTGTGTGTGTGTGTGTGTGTGTGTGTATTATACATAGTACCCACTGAGAATGGACTCCAGTCACAACAAGCACACCCAGGGTACAGACCTTGATTTAAAAAAATTTTTTTAATGTTTATTCATTTTTGAGAGACAGAGTGTGAGGGGGGAGGGGCAGAGAGAGAGAGAGAGACAGAATCCAGAGCAGACGCCAGGCTCTGAGCTGTCAGCAGAGAGCCCGACCTGGGTCTCGAGCCCACGAATTGTGAGACCATGACCGGAGCCGAAGTCGGACGCTTCACTGACTGAGCCACCCAGGCGCCCCAAGGTCCTGATTTGCAATACCACTCTCCAGTAAAAGGAAACAGGCTCCGTGGAGAAATGGCTGATTGTAGGGCTGGGGCCGAAAACAAAGGAGATGAACTTGGAGGTAGTTATAGTGCCAGAAAGTAAGCAAGTGCTCAAAAATAAAATTAAAACCAAAAACAAATGATGAGGGTATGTCACAAGGGCACGGGGGCCACTCATCTTACTAGCCCAAACGGGAAAAATGTGAGCAACAAAACATATAACATAGTGTTAGATGACGCAAAGTAAAGAAGAAATACCCATGAGTCCACGCTGATATGATACATGACATAAACAAGTAACAGTAGAGTTCCGAACACCTTGTGTAGACCCTGCCCCCTCAAGGAAGCGGGGAGTAACTCTTCCTCTCTTAAGTGTGGGCTATGCACAGTGACTTCCCTTTACAGGGAACAATGTGGAAAAGGGGAGAAAAGAGAAACCTAAGGAGCTAAGATGATTAAGTGTAATATGGTACTCTGGATGGGATCCTGGAATGGAAACAAGACATTAAGGAAAACTAATGAAATCTGAATAGAGTACGGAGTTTGGCTAACGGTGATGCATCACTGATTGGTTCTTTAGGGGTGACAAGTGTCCTACGGTGATATAAGATGTTAGCAATGGGGGAACATAGGAACTCCCTGTGTTAGCTTTGCAACTTTTTTGTAAATCTAACTATTGTAAAATAGAAACACTATTTAAACATATTGTTCAATGGCCGCAACAGTTCACGTCCCCTGCATCATCCCTTTTGCAATGTGACTTTGCCACCCTTCCCTTGGAAAGCTGGTTTCTATCTCCCCATTGAATCTGGGCTAACCTGTGACTTGCTTGGGCTGAAAGAATGGGGGCAGAATGTGGTACCAGTCATGGAGTTTCAAAGCCTTGCACTATGGATTGAGACATTGCCCAAGCACCCTTCGTAGCCCAGCCAGGAGCCAACCAAACACCAGATATGTGATTGAGTCCCTTCCTCCTAGACAACAACCTGCAGACCTGCCCTCTGCTCTAGCCACAGAGAGGCAAGGCAAAATTAGCTCAGCCCTACCCAGATCCGCAGGGCCACAAGTGAGTTATATGAACCATAAGAAAAGCTTTTTATTATATAGCTAATACAGCTAATAGCTAAGTGATGCATTCATACTCGAGCACAACGGTGTGTGTTCAAGGTTATTTTGTTGCAACAATATGATTATAAAAGATTACGAGCAACCTAAAGGCTCATGCGTGGAAAACTGATCAAATAATTATGAGATCTGTACCACGGAATATTATGCAGCTGTTCAAAAGAATGAGGCCGCTCCGTACGAATCGCCATGGAACAAATCCCATGATACATCTTCTAAGTGAAGCTTCGAGATGCCGAGGAGCATACAGAGGCAGCTACCCATCCTGTGAAATATTTATATTTGCACAGACTTTCTGCTGGGGGATCTACACAAGGCGGGTGTCAATCGCCGCCTCTCAGAAGGGGAACTGGCTGCTGGGAACAGCCGTGGAAGGGACACTCCCTTTTCGCTTTACCATCTTTTTTGTCTTTTGAGACGTGGAAACGTGTTGTCTATTCAAAAATAAATAAAAGCAGAATGAAAGAAAAAAACCCCAACAACCTCCCGTGCCTTTCCATTTCGGCCTGTTATTCTCCACTCGCAAGATTCCCCAGATCCGCGGGGTTACAAAGAGCCGCGGGGGAGCCAGGCTGCATTTTCTCCCGCCCTCCCCGCGGACAGCCTCCACCACGCGCTAAGGGAAGCCTGTTTCTGCGGTTCCCTGGTTTGCGAGCCCGGCCAGGCCGCCACGACCGCGCCTGCCACTAGGGGGCAGCAGGAGGCTACCTTCCCGGGCAGGAACTGCGGAGAGGTGGAGGTCGGCCCGAGTAGCATAGCAGGCTGGCTGGCTCCTCCCGAAAGGGCTCGGGCTTTACGTATGAAATATAATAATATCAACAATAACGATAGAGAAAATAAATGGTTTCGACCTGGGACCAAAACTCATCCCCAAACCCCCTCCAGGCACTGGATCATCCAGTCAGTTCCCATAGCGTCCCCAGGGGAAGCCTGTGCCTCTGTAGGAGTTGGGGGGCAGGGTTGAGGGTGCGCGGCCGAGAGGCATGGGGGGGAGCGGAGGGAGATGACCTTGCCCTCTTCCTGCACCCAGCTGTATAAAACCTGCCGGAGAACTCGCCCTTCAGGCTGCCGAGACCAACAATCCTTACACTCAGGAGATCTGGAGGGTTTGCCATTGACCCCCCCCCCCCACCTCCCCGCGCGACCCTGAAAAAGCCCCTTTCAACCTTGAACCTGCTCCACCTCTGTGAACTGAAGACGTGGCTTGTAAGAACGAATGAAGGGATTCATTTGTGCCCTTGACCTAAGGACCTTCTGGGCTGTCTTATCCCCATTCTACAGAAGCTGTGGCTTCAGGGGACAGAGCAACTTGCACCTGGCTGCACACCTGGCAAGTGGCGAGCTGGGTTCGAATCCAGATTTCCCTGGCTCCTGACTCCCAGCTCTTACCGCTTAACTTATCCTGCCTCCGCGGGCCGCCGAGAGGGATTGCACCGGAGAGGTGGCCGCGAAAGAGCTTTGGAAAGGGGCACGAGGCCGCGTTCCCGAGTCCCGTCTGCGTGCCCGGCGCGCACCCCTCAGGGAGGTGCTTTCCCCTGGAGATGGGCCGTGTGACCTTCGCGCCCCCTTGGGACAGGCGAGGAGCGGGAGGCGCCCTGCGTCTCCGCCCTGCCCCCTCCCCGAGAATAGTCTGGATGAGCCGGCCGCGGCTTGCTCCCCGCCAGCGGCGCCCGCGGCCCCGCCGCCCCCAGCGGGCCCGAGGAGGGCGCGCGGCTGCGGGGGGCCGGGGCGCACGCTGCACTCCTCAAACCAGGCCCTTCAGCAAGCGCGCAGCTCTTGTTTGCGTGCACAGGCCTTTGTTCGTGCACCGGGACGGAGACCTCTTTTCCTCGGTCCCTTGGGTCGCGTCTTGAAACACACACGCTCCAGGAACAGAAACGCCGCGCTGCGGCAACCCGCGCTCAGAGCGCGTCTCTGTGCCCGCCCGGCGGGCGGCGGGCGGCGGGCGGCGGGGCTGGTCCCTGCGGCCCTTCGCTCCCAGGCGCTACACCCCTGCCTCAGTTTCCCCATCTGCACCGGGAGGTGGCGTGCATCAGGGCCCAGCCGCCGGCTGGAATTCGGTCTTTGCGAGCGCCGCGCGCGGGAGGCGGCGGGGAGCGGGGCAGACAGGGCTGCCTGTGGGTCGTCTGTGTTTCCAAGACTGTAAACAAGTAAAAGAGAAAACAGACAAGATCATTTGAAATAACACCAAGTGGTAACATAATAGAAGCACAGGTAAGTGCACAGCCTGTGCCAGGCTCCCTTCTGAATGCTGTCGTGCCTGTGTCGGCCCCAAGCTCACAGCAAACCTGAGGGAGAGCATGACCCCCTTTCACAGACGGGAAAATGGAGGCTGAATCGCCTGTTGGAGGGAAATGAGAAGTTGAAGGAGTTGAACGATTTCCCCATTTCCTCGAGCGTCCACTACGTGGTGGAGACCAGATTCGGACTGCAGGTGACAGCTGGGCTCCAAGTGTGGCCGCGTAATCACTCGCACTGTGGCTGTGCGAGGACGGATGATGACTTCAGAAAGAGAGTGCTGAGGCTAGAGGAGGGCTCTTGCCACAGGGAGGACGCGGGGGGAGCGTAAGTTGGTCACTTAGCTCTTAAACCCGCCCCCTAGCCTTCTGATCTCCTGGCCTCTGAGAGATTGCTGGTGACATTCACCAGCCCTTGGTCTCTGACCAAGGTATGAGATCAGCGAAGTCCTCCTTTTATAGACAAGGTGACACCGAGGCCCAGACTGAAGGTATGGGTCAGGTGGCTTGTTGTTACCAGTTTCATTCGCTGATGAGCCCCACCAGCATAGGCCTGACCTGGCCCTTAGATCCAGGCAAAGGGGACCCCACCCTTGTTCTCACGCATTAAAGGGCCTCTCTCTGGCCCTCCTCCAGCTGTGTATGACCCCCCCCCCCCCAGGGCCAAGGGGAGATAGCCACCCAAGCCTTTATCTCTTTTCTAGACATACTCTGGGTTCCCAGGATTCCTGAAATCCAAAGGTTCCAAGCTGGCTTTCAGGGCCTGTGCAAGCCGCTTGCTGGTATGTTCTCTGGAAGCAGAACACTAGGCCTGGGGGGTAGGCAAAGGGCAGTGTGGAGCATGGGGGTGAAGGGAGCTTGTAAAGGCATGGGATGTCTACACACATGCATGTGGGGTCTGCACAGTGTGGCCTGGGGCTGGGGATGACAAGGGAAGGGCCACTGCCACCATTCTGCACGTCTGGGGGGTCTGAGGTTTCCAAACTGAACCTGGCCTTCCAGGTTGTTGTGAGGTTACTTACATTCATCGAGGAGAAGGATAGAACATGTTAAAAACAATATATTAGCTTGATGTATAATGTCTAAACATTTAGATTTGGGGGGATGGGGGGGAGCCCAGACCCCACCAATATCAGGAGTGGGTCTGGCCTAGCACATAGGAGATATTCAGCGTTTATCAGACAGATGGATTCATCTCATTTAATTTAATCCTCACACAGACTCTACAAGGGAAGTAGGCATCGTCTGTTTTTTATTGATGAGGAAACAAAGCTCAGAGAGATTCAGTGGCTGGTCCGATTTTTTCACATTAGAAAGTAGCAGAGTTGAGCCTCCAGTCCCAACATATCTGATTCCAAAACCCATTGCAGTTGGCCCCCCGACAAGTTCATATCCGATTACGGACACATGAAATGTATCATAACGACTTGGGCACGCCCCATGGTCTTTTTGGATACGCACTGTTTGTATTACATGCAAAAGGAGGTAACAGGGCAGGCGTTAATGCTCCAATGAATAATTGTGGGGAAACTGAGGCCATGAGCCACGACCCAAGGTATCATCAAAGCTTAAACAAACAGAGTCTACTTTTCGTGTAGGACAAAATATCCGGAGGCGGCCAGACCTCCAGATGGTGTAATTGTTACAGCATCCTCAACAAATACCTTCTATCTCATGGTCTGTTCTGGTTATGTATTGGTACCCAACAGACACTCCCCGAACAATAATCATGTTGATTATTTTCTACAGTTTTGCGGGTCTGAAATTCGGCCAGGGCTCAGCTGGGCGGTCCTTCCGATCCATGGGCGTTGACTAGTCACTTGGCCGCGTTCAGCTGATGATTGGTTTCATCTGGAGGACCAAGATGGTTTGGGAAGACCGCAGTGCTGAGCTCAGCCGGGTCCCTAATTCCTTTCCGTGAGGTCTTAGGGCTTCTCCAAGGGGGTCTCTCCAGCAGAGTGGTTGGACCTTTTCCTTGGCAGCCATGGATCCAAGAGACCATGGCAGAATCTGCCAGTTTCCTTAGGGGCCAAAGTCCGGAATTGGCAGAGCATCATTTCCACTGTATTCTGTTGGTCCAATAAGTCACAGGCCAGCCCAGATTTAAGAGGAGAGGAAGTCCAAACAAACTCTTCCTCTTGAAGGAAGAAAGACCAAAGAATCAGTAGCCATCTTTAATTCATCACATGGTCCAGCATGGCTGTTTGAGAGCCAGTCGTCACATTTCAGATTCCAGCCAGCAAAGAGAAAGAGAGGAGTGAGATGTCTATTCTCCTGTTTAAGACATTTTCTAGAAGCCACACAAAACATTTCTCACTGGTAAGAACTCACATGGACATACCTAGGATTCGGGAAGAAAGCAGGGAAGTGTAATCTTCATTCTGGGCTGCCACATGTCCTGCTGAAATTAGGGATTCTGTTGACAAAAGGAGAGAGTGGATATTGAGGAAAAACTAGAAATCTGTCACACTGTTGGATTTTTTTTTTTTGCTACCAGTAGCCAAACACACACTTAGCGGACATGTTTCAATTCCATTCTTGTCCCTCCTGTGACATCCTCCACGCTGTCACCAAAATAATAACCTTTCCTTCTTAATTATTTTTTTTATGTTCCTAAAAGGCAAATCTTTTAATCATTCCCATGCCAACAGCAAGTTCTGAAGTTTTTTGTGGGGGGGACCAGGGGATTTTAATGCCTAAAATAACAATAAACGCGTAGGCACTTTAACAAGCACCATATGAATATATCTTACTCTGTCCTCACAGTAACCCAATGAGAAAGGATCATATATGAGGAAAGAGAAGCCCCGAGAGGTTAAGTGGCTTGCCCCAGGCCACACAGTGAGTAGGTGCAAGGTGGAGGTTCAAATCCTCGTCCGTCAGATTCCAGGGAGGTGCTGAGGCACCCACACATGTGCAGCCCGGGACCATTTATTGGAAATTACCCTGGAGCACGGACAAGGCCCATGCTTGGAATGTAAGTGCCTGAAGAGGTGAACATAAGCCGTGAGCCTGCAGATGCCCCCTCCTTCCTGAGATCCTTTGGCCGGGGTAGCGGGCATATTTCATTAAACTAAGCTGGCACCAGAAATTCGTGTCATTCCACTTTCTTTATACCCTGAATGAACTGCGGACCATGAGTATGAGTAGGAGACTGTAGAACTGGCTACATTGCTAAGCAGTGGTCAGGATACAGGCCCAGTGACTTCCTGGCCTCTGTGGGCCCAGTGCAAGGAGGCGCCTTCCAGCTCTAATCCCAGTTTCTTCTCGCCTTAATTTTACCCAGTTCCACAACATCCAGTGGCTCCCAAATTCCCTTCAGTTTTGCCCTGCAGGGCGTGGGGAGGATAGAGGAAGGGAAAGGGACAAACCTGGGTTCAAATCCTGATTCCCTTTTGGTGAGTCTCAGTCTTTGCATCCGTTAAATGGGAGGAATAATCCCTGCTCTGCTGATTTACCCAGGCGTTAAGGACCACACAGGACAAGGGATAGGAATGGCCTTTGCAGATCAGAGCTGGTGACCTGTGCAGAACGTACTTCAGCAGATTGCATTGTCTCTTTGGAGGGCAGGGAGAGCTGGGGTGGGGCTGGGGGCAGTTTCAGGCAGAGTGCTGCCCCTTCTGGGGGGGCTCCTACCCGCAGCCTCACGGAAGAAGTGGGCCACAGTGGGCAGTTACACATAGATGCGCCCGTCAGGAGACATGATGATTCAGAGCAATGGTTCTGAGTCAAGGGCCAGTCAAACCTGGGTTATAAACCCGGCTCGACCCCTCACTAGCTGAGGGACCCTTGGACAACTCACATAACTCCTTTGTACCTCCATTTTCACGTCTGTCAGGTGGGATTAAAAACACAGCCTCTTGCATTGGCATTTTTGTGAAGAATTGAGTGAGAACGTGCCTTTAAAACACTTAAGGGCAGAAGAACCGTCCGACCAGTAGTAATGACAACGGTGATTACATTTTTAATTACATTTTTTAATACAACCCTAATTAAATATGTCCTGTAGAGGGGCGCCTGGGTGGCGCAGTCGGTTAAGCGTCCGACTTCAGCCAGGTCACGATCTCGCGGACCGTGAGTTCGAGCCCCGCGTCGGGCTCTGGGCTGATGGCTCAGAGCCTGGAGCCTGTTTCCGATTCTGAGTCTCCCTCTCTCTCTGACCCTCTCCCGTTCATGCTCTGTCTCTCTCTGTCCCAAAAATAAATAAACGTTGGAAAAAAAAAAAACTTAAAAAAAAAAATATGTCCTGTAGATGTTTCATTGCCTAGTTTAGTAGTCCTCACCGTAACCCTAAGGCGTAGATAACGTTATTATTCTCCACTTAAAGAGGAGGAGATGGGGGCCCGGTTAGGTTGAAAGCTGCCCAAGGTCACCGTAAGTGGTAGGGGCAGGGTTTGAACCTGAACCCAAACTGCCTGATCCAGAGTCCACCGTGATCAATACCTCACGCGGCTGTTATTACTATCGCCATTGCCACGGTGGCTCTTAGAGTCTGTATCCACTTCCGTAAGTGCCCCAACAGCCGATTGGAGCAGGGGAAGTCACCTGACCCAAAGGCTGACAAGAGATAGGCTAGCCAGCAACCAATGATATAGCCTGGGGCAAAAGCTCCACCCAGCACAGCTGAGGGTGGTTCGACTAAACCAATCAGCATTAACCAAACCAATCGGCACCCCCTCCGGGCTGCCGGTTGGGGTTTGGGTCGAAGACAGTTGGGTCAAATGCACAAAAGCTGGAAGACCAGGCCAGGTCGGATGGTGCCAAGACCGTATGAAGGCGCAGGATTAATGAGGAAGCCCAAACCTCCGGAGAGAGGAGGGAAGAGGGAAGGCGGAAGGGGAGGTGGAGGCCCGCAGACACCTGCTGCCTAGGAGGCAGAGAGTGAGCTCTGTCCTGGGTCCTGAGCCCTGGGTCCTGAATGGTCTCCCGGCGGCTAAACCACCTTCTGCGAGGCGCGCTCAGAATTCCTGCCTTCCAATCCCTGCACGTAGTTTGACAACACCTCCCGCGGCTCCAGTTAACTTGAGAGTTTCAGCCCTTTTCATCCCAAATGAGGCTGGATCAGCCTTCCTCTTCAACCTCAGGGTAAATGCTAATAATGGGAAGTGGCCAATGGAGAGGGGGCAGTAACCCCCTCCGTGTAAGCCCCAGGCGTGACTCTGGCCTGAGGAGGCCAGAAGACACAGCCTGGCCCGGTGCCTGGCTCACGAGAGGCCCAGGTCTGTGCCTGGCCCACTCCCCTGCCTATGATCAGGCTATCACACACCATCTGGGCGGCGGGACGCCAGGGCAGGCCGCTCCCCTGCACCCCAGGCTCATACGTCCATATGCATTTTGTGTTGCCCACGCACCTCGATTTTAACCTGTTCCAAACACAACTTCCCACCATGCCTCCCCAAAGCAACCCTCCTTGCAGGACTTCCATTTCAGGAAATGCCAAACCTCCCTGTCTAGTTGCCGAGATTAAACACCTTGGCGTCGTCCTGACCCCCCTGCTGGTCTCCTACCCCAACATTCTTTCAGCCAACAAATCCCGTTGGCTCTACCCGGCAGACATTTCCAGAAACCGACCACCTCTGTGGTTCCAGAGACCTGCTCACCTCGACCACCCCGGTCTGGGCCTCGGTCCCCTGTTCCTTGGGATGAACACAGTAGCCTTCTCCAGTTTCTGTACCCACCTTCTATAATCGTTCTGCGCTCGGCAGCCAGAGGGGTCCCATGAAAACAAAAGCCAGATCTTCCAATCCCTTGTCTCAAAACCCACCAATTACTCCCCCTCTCACGTGGGAAAAACAAAGGTCTTTACAGGCCTTCATGGTCTGCCACTCTGGCCTCACCGGTTTCCTACGGCTGCCTCCCTGGCATCACCTGCCAGCCCTGTCCCCCACTCTCCCTCTGCTCCAGCCACACAACGTGCTCGCTGTTCTTGGAAGGAATGTTCCCACCACTGGGCCTTTGCATGTGCCATTCCCTCTGCCTCGAATGCTCCTCCCTCTTGGCTCCTCCCTCACCTTCTTTGGGTCACCTTGGCAGAGAGTCCTTCCCTGGGCATCTTACTAACGATTGCCAGCCGCCCTCGTCCACTTCCCTGCTTTATTTTTTTTTTTTCTGTAGCACGAGTGCTACAGTCCGACTTGCTGCCCATTGTCCTTTCTGTTGACCATCCATCTCCTGCACTCGACTGTGTGAGCTGCGTGAACCCACAACTTAGAACACGACCCCTGGCATGAAGGAGGTGCTCCGTGAATCTTTGTCGGAAGAACAAAGGAGCACACAAAGTAGGACTTTCTGGAGACACCCTGGCCCAGCTGTCACCCTCCAGGTGTTCCCAGGCTACTCACTCACCTCCTTGATCCTTTTAAGGGGTAAGCCCCAAGGCCCTATCCCCAAACAAGAGAACCAAGGAGACAAGTCAAGGAGGGATTAGGACAAATGCGTGGCAATTTCTTTTTGAATATAACTGTTTTCACCTTAATACAAAAGTCCTGTGTCCCAGCTGTTGGCTCTCCTGTCAAATCACGTTCCAGCCCAAGAACTCGGCGCTGGAGTTCTGTGTTCCAGCCAAGGATCTGCTGTCACGGAATCACTGATGAGCAGCGTGGGCTTTCCAGGAGGCTCCCAGGGAAGCTGGGGCTCACCACCTGCCTGCAGCATGCACCTTAAACCCCCTCACACCAGAGGGACTCCGTGTTGCTGATTGATGAGGCTGGTACCAGGTAGTGGGGTCGTCGTACGATTCTCTGCACTTTTCCATAGTTTGAACATTTCCCTAAGAGCAGAAACAAAAACCAGGGTGTCTTCTCCGAAGCTCCTCTTCCCGGACACATCCCCAGAGGACTTGCGATCGCCCTTCCCTCTCCACTGTCACCACCCACAACTTCTCTCTTCCCCTCCCCTCTGGTTTGACAAGAGATCAGTTCAGCTCCACTTACTAGCTGCCGCTTGGCCTACCGGAGTCATCTGAGGACACTTAGAAACCTTTGATGCCTTCTGGTCTCCCCACTTCCCAGGATTTGGAACCAAATGGTCTGATGTGGGGACGCTGGGCACTGGGTGTAGTAAACGCTCCCCAGGCAATTCTGGAATTTTCTCAAGTTGAACAACCATCTTGTCAACCAAGGCCAATCCCTGACTTTTTTTTTTTTTTTTTTTTTTTGCTGCGCCCAGGGGCCTCCCGTTAACAGGGGCCAGCTTTCTTGGAAGGCCGTTTAGCAACACCTTTTGTTACCTGAGCCCATCCCTGGGGTCCCAGCACAAGTGACTTAAAGAGTTATTTCTTTCAAACCCAGACAATGTACTTCATTCACCACCAGGGTGCCTGGTGGATGGTGTTCTTTCCATTACCTTATGCAACATGGGTTCACTGTCATCATTTGAAAAGCACAGAAAAGCACACAGGAGCCGACCGCAGCTCCACTCTGGCCCAGTGATTCCTGAACAGAAAGGATCCATTGTCACCAAGTCAACTTTAAGGGAGCAGCTAAAAAACACATTCAAAGGGCCCTGATGATAATGAGTATGCTAATATGATTTCCATTGGGTGCCCATGTTACCTCCAAAAACACTGTCTGACCTTCCTCGTGGATTCAAAGCTTCCATTGAAGTCAGCGGGGGATTTGGGTTAAAATAACATCAAAGTTTTCACTTAAATGGACAAAACTGGGGAGTTGTGCACTAAGGGTGAGTTTCACATCGGCCCTGACACTGCTGACCTTGAGGGGGAAATGCCTTCCCTGGTAGGGTGTGAGTGGAGCTTTCGGCCAAGCAGCTGTTGCCTTTGGGTGGGTCGAACCAGCAAGCGTTAAATGGGGGTCCCCTTCTCCATGACCAATGAGCTCAGGAGGCCTGGGTTCAAATCCCAGCTCTCTATTCATTAGCCAGTTGACCTTAAGCAAGGCAAATCACTTCTCTGGTTGAGCCTCAATGTCCCCATGTGTAAAATAGCACAGAGGAAACATACTTTGCAGGATTGCTTGTGAGAATGAAGTGTCGCTCAGTGTATATTTATGAGCTGCTTCCTGGGTGCTGGGGAGCGCTGTCTGGGTGCTGGGGAGACAACTATGAGCAAAACACATGAACTCTGTTCTCACTGGAGCCCCCATTCCGGTGGGAGAGGAGAGAGACGCCAAACACAGGCCCAGAAATAATACATAAGTGGTGATAAGTGCTACGGAGAAGGAAAAGTCCCTAGGAAAGGGACAGACCCAAACTCAAATCCCAACTCACCCCTTGCCGGCTGTGTAACTCTTGGGAGAGTAATTTTGTCTCCCTGACCATCTTTTTATATGTTCGGTGAGATCCATTGATCATTTCTCTACCCATTGAACAAATATTTATAGGATTCTGTCTTGAGTCAGGCATTCTTGTGCATATTGGAGAGCTGGCAAGGAATAAAGCAGACAAAAATCCTTGCCCTTGGAAATTTAAACTCTAGAGGAGAGAAACAGACACAGGATATATATATATATATATATATATATATATATGGTAATGAAGGAAAAGGAAAAGCAAGCAAGTAAGGTAAGGGGTGGAGACTTATGGAGAAAGGTGCTTTTTATGTAGGCTGGTCAGGGAAGGACTCTATGGGGAGGCGACATTTACTGTGAGGCCTGAAGGTCTTTGGGGAATTAGCCCTGTGGGCCTCTGAAAGAAGAGTGTTCCTCGGCCAGGGGAGAAAGCAGGGGCAAAGGCCCTGAGGTAGGACCGAGCGTGGCTGTTGGGAGGATTAGAGAGGCAGAGACAAGGTATGTGTAATCACCTGGCACAGCGCCTGGCTCCTGAGTTGGTTACCGATTGTGCCCCTTTCGTGCAAAATGAGGATAAGTCTCTGCTTCCCAACGTTCTTGGGGGTTCTGCAGATTGGTGACCTTTTCCTCCGCTTTTCTTCTCTTGTTCTCTGAGTGAGAACCAGCAAATCACCCTCCCCGGGGGCCTGCCCCTGTCTCCAGTCTGAACCAACAGGAATGGTGGCCATGTGGCCGTGGTGCTGGGGGGGGGGGGTAGGGGTGTGTGTCATGAACGATGGCCATTAAATAATAATGGCCGCATCTTGAATTTCTTTCCTCTCCGCAGCCTTACAAATTAAGCGCCCTGGAAACGCTGTGCCCGTTGCCAAGATGTGCCTCCATCTGGGGTGAAAGGCAACATCTGCTAAACAGCTGCATCTTGTTTAAGGGTTGGTACTTAATTAAATTACTCCGCTCCGGTAGGGGCAGGCGGAGCTGAGCAGGAAGTCACAGGCATGTGTCCCCACCCCTCCCCAAGCTGGCCCACAACCCCTTTCCCGTGGTGTCCCTCCACGCACCTGGTCGTTGATCCCACCAACCTGGACAGCCACATATTTGCAGGACACTCACTCGTGCTGCCTCCTCACCCTTCCCCGAGCTGCCCCTCCAACATCTCAGACCTTCCAACATCTCAAACACCAACATGTCCTCCACGAGGCCTTTTCCAACATCCCAGCCTCAGTGAATCACGTCCCATGAGCCCGCGGGGTACTTTGCACTGGGACATTTGTTACCCTTACATTGCAGGGTCAGGGACCTGCCGTTCTGTGAGCTCCTTGCGGTCGGAAACCACGTTTAATTTGGCCTTATAAGCTCAGCATGTGCCTGGCTCCCCATAGACACTTAATAAGTGTTCGGTTAATGAATGGATGGATGAAGGGATGAGGAAGGGAGGGCAGAAAGAAGGGATGGGTGAACAGATGGATCCACCTGCTACCATGTAGATCCAAGCCGCTGCCACTCCTTCCGGGGACAAACACCGCAGTCTCTTACTGGCCTTCCAGCTTCCACTCGTGCCCCACCCCCCCATAGTCCACTGTACTTAGAGCACCCAGGATCTTTTCAATATGGAATTACATTACATCACTCACTGTTTAAAACCTTCCAGTAGCTTCCACGTTCCCAATCCTAGCCGACAAACCCCTGTAGGATCCAGCCCCTTCCTGCCCTTCTGATCTCATCTCATTTTCCTGTCCTCCAATTGCTTTGGGAACCAGCCAAGCTCTCTCGCCCTTTGAATCTGCTGTTCTCTCTAACCTGGGACTGTTCTCCCCCCCGGCTGTGAACCTGGCATCCTATCAGTCCTCAGGTGCGGCTTTAATGCTACCTCCTCAGAGAGGCCTCTCTTGACACTCCTCGTCAAAATGTCCACCATCTTGATCCCCAAAGCCAAAGGGGCCAGAGCGAGACATCCAGAGCGTTGGCCGCTGGTACAGACCTGCCCCACCCCAGGGCCGGCCGCAAGCCACCCCTTCTCCCAAGGGGCTCACTCCTCCTCTCCATCAACTGATGATCCCTCATGAATGGGCTTGTCTGGAGCTGCTGCAATTAAACCATCAGAGCAACATCGGACCATTTGTTTACTATGGCACTTAGAGCTGGAATGGCTTGTTGTTTTGACGGTTTCTATTTTCAGCTCCATTTCCTGGGGGTAGCGGGGAGAGGGTAGGCAATGAATCCTGGTCTATTCAAGCAAAAAGATGCTTCAGTGAATCCTAACATTTCAGAATCACAAAATTCTAGAATCATTTTCATGGGAGGCGAGAACAGTAGAAATGTGTAATTTTAGTTAGAGGTTCTTAGAGTCGTGGAATTCTAGAATCGTACACAACGCAGATTAGTATCTTAGTGTCAACGCAGTTTAGCCTCAAAGCCTCAGAGGGATGGGCTCTCAGAGATTCTCTCGCTTCGCCGAGGTCTCTGCTCCAGTGTCGTGCTCCAGAAGCCCTCCTCCGATGACCTTACCCACGAGGAGCACCTACGCCCACACCCTGTCACTCTCCATTGTTTTACGCGGCTTCATATTTCTTCATCGCTCTGCTCACCACCTGACATCCGATGTAGTTCTCTCTGCTTATTTGCTTATTGTCTGTCTCCCCCACATGTTGGATGGAGGTCAGGAAACTCTGCTTTGTTCACAGCCTAGCAAGTGCTTCGAAAATAGTGGCTGACGTGCCGTAAAGATTAAAAAAAAAAAAAGAGAGAGAGAGAGAGAGAGAAAAGAAAAGGAAAGTCTATTTATCCAACAAATATTTATCGAGTGCCTACTCTGGGTGGGCCTCTCCGAGATAACCATGTCCCGGGATGGAAGGTAGGTCTGTTTGCAAGCCAAATCCTATTGGTGTTTAGACACCCAGAGAGAGCACTGCGCTGAAAAGGATTCTCAGGGCTCATCCAAGCTCCGTGGGGGAGGGCAATCGATCAGCGATGTCTGGTACGGACCCAGCAAGGGAGAGAGGCAGCCGTCTCCACGATTGGCTCTTATCTTACACTCGACAAACTAAAGTCCAGAAGCCGGTGGGAGGGCACCAGTGTGGGCCCTCCCGGGCTGGCTCCCGAACCTGAGTCTCTCTGGGGCACAGGTGGCATGCCCTGCCTCCTCACCCGGCCCTTTGGCTTTCCCTCCGCCCAGGCCTTCCCGGGAGCGAGGGGCTGCTGGAGTGCCTGGCCTTGAACCCCAGCCTGGGAACCCAATTCTGGAATGCTGCCTGCACACACAAGCCGGTTATTTTTAAAAATCCAAAAAGAAAAGGAAGAAAGAGCAAACTCACTGCTTCGGTCTGTGCACCAGCCCCAGCTGAGAGAATAGAGGCTTGAAAGGAACAAAGAGTTTCCTCAAACACAGCAGATCAAGGGCTTGGCTTATGTGGTAACCGGTGACCGACCACCGCGCTTTGTGACCGAGCCTTCAGAAGGCGCTTGGGCCTTGGTTCCTGCTGCAGTCTGTGGGGGAGGGGGAGCCGGGAACACCCTCCCCACCCCCACCCCACCCCAGGTCAGGCTGCTTACAATGACGGGCTCCTAGAACCCTGAGGTCAGGGCCTCAAAGGCCCTCTCAGAGCCTGTCGTCTGCTACCCTTGGTCAGACTGGCAGACGAAGCCCTGGAGGGGCTCCAGGTCACGCAGGGAGCCGTGGGCCAGGGCACTCCCCTTCTTCCCGCGTCCCCTTTCAGGGAGGTGGAGGCCAGTTAGGTGAATCCAACTGCCCTTGCCTCTTGTACCCACCAGGGCTGCCTGGGAAAGCCTTTTCAGAATCTCTCCCAGCCACTAAAACTTCCTGTTCCCTTCCCTCCGCAGATTTCCCCTTTTGGGGTGCCTGTGAGGGGAGGGGTTTTACACCTAGGTCCCCAGGGTCAGCCCTGACTGGTGAGTTCTGAGGTCTACAGAAGGATCGCAGTTGAGCCCTAGACTCCACCATGGGTGACGTCTACCCCCGTTCCCGTGAGGGTAGCGATCTGGGCGCTGTGCCAAGGCCTTTACGGGTGGGTGTCTCACAGCGGGCGGCCCAACAGCCCCGCGATTGGGTATCACCGTCCCCCACCGTGCAGGCGAGAAAAACCAAGGTTCCATAGACGGCATGACGTGCCCAGGGTGACGTGGCAGTGATTGGCAGAGCCGATGCTTGAACTCAGGTCCTTCTGTTGACCTCTGCCCTCTGCCCCCATTCCCCCCGGATGTCAAAGGTCAGCAGGGCTTAACGGGAATCACGGGCCTGAGGCAGGTGCCAGAGGGCCCGGGCTGGGGACAAGGAACTTCCCTCCATCAGATGCCACCCTGCACACGAGCCACACGTTTGTCGCCAGCACACGCTGGCCTTCAGCCTGAGGGTGGCACAGGCCCATCCGGTCTCCTTGTTCCCCCCCCCGCGCCCCCCCCCCCCCCCCCGCAGTGTGTCACCATCCGCCTGTGTCTCTCTCCCATGGTTCTTCCCTACCCCACCTGTCAGTCAGTGTCAACTCCATTCTGTGGGCCTCTGGCCTCATGGCCTCCTCCAACTCTGCCAATGTCCCGCTCCCGTGTCTTCTTTCCCTGCCCCCCCACCCCGCTTGCATCTGTGTGCTGCTTTCTGCCCCCTTATTCTGGGTCCCCCCTGATCTTCCGCCCGAGCTCGTGTCTCTGTCACCAGCCTGTCTCTGTAGGGGACACATGTCTCTCCCTTTCTCCCCAGAGCGATGTCTCTCCCTCCCTCCCTGCCTCTGTCTCTCTTCTTCTCTCTGTCTCTGTCTGCCTCCACCTTTGCAGCCTTCCTCCTCTCCTCCCCTCTCCCCGCCCCTCCCGAGCCTGCGCCTTCCCTCTCACACCCTTCACGCCGACGTGCGATATTCCGGTAAAGCCCAGTTTCGCTGTAAGGGGACAAGGAGGGATTGGTCAGGGATACTCCGAAAGGTGGATCTGGGGCAGGGTCGCGTAAAAGGGAACTGAGCCAGCCTTCCTTTCTTCCTCGGAAATGACTGGCTGCTTTCCTGAGAGGCAGACAAGAAAGTCCCTGAATAGGGATTTAAAGCACTAAGCTCTGATTCCTTCTTTTTAATATTTATAAAGAGAGAAAGGGGATAATTTCAGGAAGATCATTTCAAGGCGAAAACCCACATATTTTCAATAGAATTATTCCAAAAGCCCCTTTCCGGCTCA